TTCCAAAATAACTCACAATCTGGCAACATCGAAGATGTGCGCATGCGTAGTGTCTGTGACTATATGCAGCAAAAACTCGTTTCAAGGTCAGCCACCGGATCCACACCATTACCATATTTTGTATTTAGGTCATTTATGACCCAAATAACTCATTTTGAGTGAAATTAAAAAAACTTTTTTTTTGCCGATCCTAATAGCCTACCATACCTATTGGTATGGTCGGCTAAAGACAGGTACTTAAAATGAAATCTGGTTGTCTTGACTTGAGGGTTAGGTTGCAGTCATTTTTTACTGACTTAACTTGCAGATCGTCATGATTTAAGTCAAAAATATAGACTTAAGTCATATAAACTACTTAAATAACGTTATATTGTTTTAAGTCTTTACAAAAATGACTTGACTTGAAATAAAATTATTTAAGTCAAAGATTTAAGACCTAAATCATTTGAGCTTTATGTTGAATTTGAGGTAAGACTTAAAATAATTTTGATTTCAGAAATGACTTAAGACTTAAAACTTAAGTCTTTTTAAAATTGACTTGTTGCAGCTCTGATCAAAAAATATGACGTTAATCAAAATTAAATTATAGCGATCTATCAAAGAATGAGATCGAAATTATATTACCATAGAAACGCCTTTTAATTTTTAGAACCAATGTGGAAAAAATTCAACTACATCTTCATGTTTTTTTTAATTTCTCTAAAACGGTATGGATATTTGGAAAAGTATAAACGAGATTAACCATTTTAGAACAAGCAAAAAATTTTATGAAGAATGAATTTTTCTCAAAATGTCAATAATAAAAAAGTTTTTCCTCTTGTAAAAACAATGTTGACAAACGATCCGGGGACATACCTTAAAGCGTTATTTTTCCTCTAAAACACAGGTAAAATTTAAAAAAATATATTTATAAAAATACCATATGATCGAAAAAAATCGGCGTCCAATTATTTTGGAAATGAGGATCGTTGACATTCCCCATATAATTTTACATTTTTTAATATAAAATGACAGCGATCTTAATTTCATAGCTATCGCTGACGCCGTTTATTTTCAATCATACGGTACATTTGAATAAAAATATTAATCTTTTCTTCTCCAATGCAGACCTGATATTGAGTATATTTTAAAATAATCTTAATTTTGTAGAGATTTTATACAGGTTGACTTTCCTACGTTGTTCTCTATGGGTATCTCGGAAACTACTGGAGAGAGAGAGAGTCGGTTAAATGGGGAAAGAATTTCAGTTTTGTGGGGTGATAAATATGCGCCTTTCAGATTTTTGAAAAAGTTCATGGCTTACTAGATATTTCGAAAAAAACAAATTTCGGCTATTTTAAAAATTGTCCCTAATTCCATCATAAGCTATTTTAGAAGTTTTCAGATAAAAGTTGTAGATAATCACATACTTAATGATATTCTGTCCTCCGCTTTTTTCTAAAACCTGTCATATTTGACATATGATACAAACATATGTTTTTTTTTTTTTAAATGGAAACCCTATATAGTTGACCATGAATTCATAAAAAGCGCCATTTTTTAAGCTTTTTAGCGATATTAAGTTATACAATATGTTTTTTTCGAAAAATTACTGTGTTATAGCTAATTCTTATCATTTTTAAACAATTTCACTTAGTTAGCCATGGAAACAAATTCAATCGCCGTTGCTCTCAGAAATGTGAAGCTCTCACATCCAAACTTTGTAAATTAAAATAAACAAAAATTGTAAATACGAATTTTTCAAATGAAGAAAACCGTGTAGATACTCGCGCATCAACAGAGTGGTTCAAACATTCATTATAACACCCTCCACCTCCCCACAATAATGAAAGAAATGTTAAAAATTATTTATATCATAATTATGCAAACTCCGGGATAGGAAAAGGTGGACCAATCGCATGGGCCTCCTCGATCACCTGACCTATCCATTTTAAATTTTTTATGCGGTATGCTTAACAATAAGGTTTACAAAAAAAAATTATGAATTAAGAGAGGCACTCGAAGTGGCGGTACGAGAGAAATTTAATTAAGTCGACCGGTCCTTCTGTGAGAATAGGTAGTAATTCAGTTTTAAAAAGATGTAACTCAAAACAATGGCGGATTTTTTGAACATTTTCTAAAATAATTTAAAATGTATGTAGGTAGTGATATTAGTTTTTTAAGTTTTAGTTTGTGTAAAGAACCGTATAATAATATATTATTCTGACTTTTTAAGTTATAAATCAAGAGAATAAAAATCCCATGTAATCTAAGTGAAATTAGTCAAGAAAGACAAGAATTGGCTATAACTAAATTTACACTACATGCTTTTCTTCATTTGAAAAAATCATATTTACAATTTTTGTTTATTTTAATTTACAAAGTTTGGATGTGACAACTTCACATTTCTGAGAGCAACGGCGCGGCGCGGCGGCGGCGATTGAACTTGTTTCCACGGCTAACTAAGTGAAATTGTTTAAAAATTATAAGAATTGGCTATAACTCTCTAAGTCAGTAATTTTTCGAAGAAAACATATTATAGCTTATATCGCTGAAAAGCTTAAAAAATGGCGCTTTCTATGAAGTCATGGCCAACTATGGTTTCTATTTAAAAAAAAACATATGTTAGTGTCATATGTCAAAAATGACAGGTTTTAGAAAAAAACGGACGACAGAATATCATTAAGGATGTGATTATCTACAACTTTTATCTGAAAACTTTTTGTCTAAAATAGCTTATTTATAATGGAATTAGGGACAATTATTTTTAAAATAGCCGAAATTTTTGTTTTTTTCGAAATATCTAGTAAGCCATGAACTTTTTCAAAAATCTGAAAGGCGCATATTTATGACCCCACAAAACTGCAATTCTTTCCCCATATTTAACCGACTCTCTATCTCTAGTAGCTTCCGAGACACCCATAGAGAACATGGTAGGAAACTCATGCTGTGTACGTACCTATTAATAGTCCAATATATTGAACATTGGTGTAACTACAGTGGTGCCTGGTGGTGCCGCCCCCCCCCCCCACAGCTACTGCTGGGCACTCCCCAGAGAAATCTTGAATTATGACTCTTGACTAGGTATTAATTTTTATTTGCTTGTGATGTAGTAAAAATGACGTTTTCTAGTTTTGTTTAGTTAATATTATTTTGTTGTGTTCAAAAAATGTGTTAATTTTTATTTTTTTAGAAAATCTATAGGTAGGTATTTAAGTAATCTACGGGAACAAGGTTTGATAAACAAGTCAATAAATTTATTGATAGAGAAATTCATGTAAGCGTTTTATTCAAAAAATGTATTTTTTTAAATTATTCTTCATTTAAAAAAAACAAAAGCATTAGGCCCCTCCTGGGCGAACCCCAGGCCCCCACCCCAGGATGAATTGCTAGTTACGCTAATGATATTGGATGGTGACATAAACATATTATATGATGTAGATATTTTTTGTTCTATTTAATATTATAAAAATTCAATATGGCGGCTATAAGAAAACAAGAACTTGACTGTTGTGCGAAATCTAGAAGCGTAGCTAGATATTCTGTGCTAGGAGGCTTAGAAATTTTCCGAAAAGGGCGTTTAACTGGCCCGACTGGCCGAGGTCAAAAATATTAAACAACCAACTTACGTCGCAATAGATATTGTCATTTAAAAAAACGGATTATTTTCATTTTTTTACAAAAATCGTAAACTAATCAAGATACCGGGGTTTTCTTTACAGACGTTTGTCAAACTTCTAGTAAGGCCAACTTTTGTCTCGTTTATCCGAATTCACTCATATCTCTCGTATGAGTCTCTTCTGAGATGCCAATGTTGAGCATCGAAACATTGGCATCAATTAGAATTTATTACAAAAAAGAAAAAACACTTAACATATTAGCAGTAAAAATTAAACGTCTATTAAAAAACATAACTAAAAACTTAGAGACGAAATAATTTGCTTAGCCAAATCGACTTCACCATTTTGTCACAAAATATTTTTTCAATCAACATTTATTTTAAAATCCCGTTTTTTTTTTAATTTAATAGTTCCCGAAGAATTAAAGATAGGGGCTGAGTAAAGAACGAAATTTGTCAAAATAATATTCAGTTAATTTCATTTTTATCTACATGTATGTCCCCGGATAGTCTTTACAAGAGGAAATACTTTTTTATTATTAACATTTTGACAAAATTGCATTCTTTATAAAAATGTTTGCTTGTTCTAAAATGATTATTCCCGTTTATATTTTTCCAAATTTCCATACCGTTTAAGAGAAAATTAAAAAAACATGAATATATTTTTTATATTTTTCCTAAAAATTCAAAGGAGTTTTCTATGCTAATATAATTTCGATTTCATTCTTTGCTAGATGTACATGACATTAGTCTATGGATAGAAAGTTATTATTTTTTATTAATTTTGATTAACATCATATGTTTTGCTGTTGTTAAAGTATCACATTTTCTGTAACTAAATATTATCACCCTTTCCATAGCATTGAACTAAATTAATTTTATGCTTCTTTAGCATTTTAACAGCGCTTTCAGATGGAGCGGACCGTACGCGCTGATGTTTTTTCAATATAGCTCATCCGGACGGAGCATACGCGACCCATGTGAAATCGTTCATATAAACTCATGGTACTTGCTCGAAGTCGCGGACGCTCCGCTCCATCTGAAAACGCTGTAAAACAGCAAAAAATATGACGTTAATTAAAATCTTATTAAGATTCTATCAATAACAATCTATCAAAGAAACGAAATTATATTACCCAAAGATATTACCGCATACGAGTTTTATTGTGATATAAAATAAATGATATAAATTAAATTGTGATATTATTTAATGACTTAATTATAAAACTATAAATTTAATCAAATAACAAATCCACCTATACTTATGCAATATTTTTTTTTTAATTTTATCCATCAAAATCTAATATTCCAAGGTAATATTGTCACTCTTGATAATGCTGCTAAAATTTGCCCCTGGAATATTAAAAAAATATATTGACAAAATAACTTACATAGACTACAAAAACATAAGTTAATAATCTTTATTTTAGTCATTTAAAATAACAGGTAACAAATAATTTGCATCTACATATAAGTAACCCATTATTATCACAAAAATATATCCTTTAAATAAAAATAAACTTATAATTCTCAACATAAAATATATTAGATCCTCTATTAAAAAAATGCATTAATCCTTGCAATAAAAAGGCATCTGTTAACAAAAAATGAACAGTGAAAAATAGAATAAGACAAAAAAAAACAAAAACGTTAGTCAGTTAAATAATGGTTCTCTAAACGTTTAAGAATCAAAGGCACTAGTAGAACTAGTTCAGCTAGTCAGTAGGCACTTCCACTTTAACTTTTTCCTCACTTCGAGGGCTGGTTTCGGTACTGGCCGTGTTATCTGTACTGGTGTTAATTTCAGTACTGGTGTTGTTGTCTGTAACACATTCTTCACCTTTCGAATCTGAATTCCCTTTAGATCTGGAGTTTGATCTACGATTTCCGAAAGATCTAGGTCTAGGTCCCCTATTATATTTGTTATTGCGCCAAGGGGTTTTAGGTTTGACAGGTTGTTTGTCAGGATCAAAGTAACGATCCAGGATATCTAGAAGTTCGTTAAGATCTTCCTCTTTTGCGTTAGCAATCTGTAAAATATAAAACACCTATGTAACAGAGTTGTAATGACTGAAGTCATTAGACTTTAAGTAATTTTTCGAAGCTGACTTGAGATTTAAGTAATTTACAAATGATATGTGATTTAAATCTTTATTCAGCAATAGAAAAAATTTAAGTCCTTGAAAAAGACTTAAATCTTTTAAAATATTTAAGTATTTTTATAAGATTTAACTCATGTTTTTCATATATTTTTATGATAAATCTTTAACAGTAGCATTTCCTTTTCATCTGTTAGGCCGGCAGATCCAGGAACCAGATAGATCAAAAACACCAACACTGGCGCTCAAGTATTTAGCTTAAATTATGCTATGGACATCAGCCCCGGATCTAAGGGGGGGCAAACCGGGGCACCTGCCCCGGGCGCCAGTGTCAGGGGGCGCCAAAATCATAATATAATATGGTTGAAAATCAAAAAAATTGCTCCACAAAGCCCCTAGTATGCACCTTACGTTCTTCTATCAAGTATTCATTTTATTTTAAAACGCCCAGTTAGTTTTTGAACACATTCTAAAGTTTCATTCAGAACTTAGTGGAATAAATTAGCGGTTTCAATTAATTACACTTTTTAGTTTACAATCATTCACAATGTTTAAAAAACACAAATAAAATTAATAAAATATCCTAGCAACAGCTTGCGGTAGTCAGTTGTATCCATAAAGAAAGCCAAATATTTAGCTTATAAAACAATAAACTTTAGATTTCTAACCACGATTTCTCTTGACGGATGCTAATCAATGGACAAAATGACATTTTCCGCAAAATTTGAAGTATAATTAGTGGGAAAGTAAAAAGTTTGTTTACTTTTTCTACTAATTGAAAATGACTACCACTAATTTAGACGTACTGAATGCTTACAATGAAATTAAAGGAACAAACTTCTACGCTAATTGAAACCATTAATTTATTCCACTAATTCGGAGGCTCTGAATGAATCTTAAGAGCTCATTCTGTCCCGTTTACGAAAAATGCCTACCTATATCTAGATATTTGTAAGTTTTTTAAATTAATTTATTGCAAACGCTGGAGAGAGGGAGCACTACTATCGATTTTTTGCCCCGGTTCAAAAAAATTGTAGATCCGGGGCTGATGGACATATTGCATAGTGATCAAAACATATCACCACATTTTAATAGATCTGTATTCAATTACATCCAAACTGTAATGGATAGGTGGTAAAAAGTACTACAAAATCGTTTAAATGTCATAAAAGTTGTTATGTTCTTACTGCTCATATTTTATTTTTGTTTGTAGTTATTCTGAAAATAGACTGTATTATTTTAAGTAGTTTTAGTCTCCTCTGTACCTACAATAAATGAATAATATAGATAATACCGAAATCGACATATAATACATATAAGAAAATTTATACATATAAACTTTTAAAAAATAGGTATGTAAATTGAATCTTAGCTATCTTGACTTAACAGTTAATTATTTTAAGTCATTTTTCTGACTTAATCGCAGATCATGATTTAAATCAAAAATATAAAGCCATAACCAAACCAAACCAAAAACGACTTAAATTACACTATACTGATTTAAGTCGAAAATAACTTAAACGACGTGGAAGAAAATTATTAAGTCAATGACTTAAGATTTAAATCATTTGACGTTTATGTTCATATTGACTAAAGATTTAAGTCTTTTTGAAACTTTTTAAGATTTAAGACTTTTTGACTTATTGCAGCTCTGCTTATTAGATTTCAAACGATTGTTCAAAAATTTAAAAAAACATATTTGATTTATTCTTTGCTAACATACAAATTAAAAATTTAAATACAGCAAAATTCAGAATTATGATAAATTTGTTCCAATAATAATTGCTCTTTTTATTAAAATAATTAAAAACTAAAAATAATTAAAAACTTCTTACCTCTTCTTTTAGGATTTTATCCAATCCATCTTTAGCGCCTTGCTCATAGGCTTCCTTAAGTTTATCATAGTTAATATTATTCATAGCAAGCAATCTTCTCAAACGACTAGCGTGTTGCCGTTCAGAGGCACTGGCTCTTAGAAAATCACGAAACACTGGTCGAAATGTATTTTGTCTTTGAAGGAGAACCTATATTAAATAATATAAAAAGAATAAGATATATGATGAATATAATAAATATCAGAAAATTAAAGTAAATTTGCGCTCCAGTCATCTGTCTCTATATAGCCAATACAAACCAAGATAAGAAGATAATTTCAAACTTTTGTTGGTATAAAAAACATTAACAACAAATGTTTAAAATTATAATATATTAAAATTGTTAGAATGACATCACAAATTAATTGTTGTCAATATACTTTCAGATAAACAATATGGATGTCAGAATAGGGTTTGATTTATATATTGTACCGTATGATCGAATAAAAACGGCGTCAACGAGGCTATGAAATGAACATCGATGACATTTCCCATATAAATTTACATATAAAATGACAGCGATCTTCATTTCATAGCCATCGCTGACGCCATTTTTTTTCGATCACAGGGTATTATTGTAATGGATGAATTATATTGTATTGGATGAATTTTGATGATTATTGAATGGATTTTGATGAAAAATATAAATGTGTCATTCGTGTTTGTCAAAAACTCTAACGTGATTGGTCGGGCTTAACAGTTACCTGCTAGGACTAGACACAAGTGTCAGTAGTTTAAAAAAAAATCAATCAATCAATCAAATGTTTTCTTGTTATTTAAATGGGTAATAGAAAATCACTATGAGACACCTCTTAATACCGTATGATCGAAAAAAAAAGACGTCAACCAGGACTATGAAACAAGATCACTGTCATTTTATATGTAAATTTATATGGGAAATGTCCGCTCGTCATTTCCCGGCCAACTGGACGTCGCGTCGTTTTTTTCGATCAAACAGTATTAATATTAAGAGATCATACCAGAATTGTTTTTCACCATCCTGAACGACATTTTCACATAACTAAAATGAAAATTTTTTTTTGGTGCACCCTACTGTTCAATCAATATAACAAGTAAAATATTGCAAACTAAAAAACCGGCGGTTTTACTTTTTTAACTGAATTAAGACCAAAGAATATCTAGAGAAATGACTGGATCATTAAGTTATAAAAATATTATTTATGCATAGTATAGAAATGTAGAGGGCAAAATTAATCATAAGGCAGAAGACTGGAAGGACCATAAAAATTTTGATTTTACTGCCCAACAAAAATTGTTGTGGTTATAAGGTAAATAAATTATTATATATTATATTATTAATATTATAATAAATTGTATAAAAAATATAAATAAGCCAGTCTTAGTTCTTAGTTTCTATGTTTTCTCCAAATTCCTGAGTGTATCGTGCAATGATAACACAAATATATTTATGTATTATTTAAATATCATTCTACGAAAATGTAATATATGTTATCACAATAAAATGAAATGTTCTTTCCCATTATCTACAAAATACCATAAATGAAAATAAATATGACCCTCCAAAATTATAAATATAAATATTAAAAAATCACAGTTTCTACTATACCTACTTAGTCAAGGTACTAAGTATTGGTAACTTAGAAAAAAGTAATCTTTATGAATGTTCTCTAGCAATGTTTTTAAAGACCATGTAAATATAAGGAACAAATTATACCACAGACATAACTTAGATCCCCAATATCAACTAATTTTTACAACTGTTTTTTGTGTATTCAAAAAATCAAATATGATCTACCTTTCAATCAAAATATGTATAAAAATTGTTATTCTTTCCAACTTTTGCAATAATTACCATGTTCTTATACCATTAAATATAATATTAAAATATAAATGTAATAAAAAGTAATATAATGAAGAATAATAATTAATGTAAGTACCTTAAATCCTTCAATTTCCTCTTCCTCTGCAGAAATTGGATTAGTATAAGGACACACCATTTCGATAAGATCTGGCTCAGTTCCTGTGGTTATCTTATTAGTACTGCCTTCTATCTCTTCTCTCTCTCCTTGAGCAAGATGTACAGCAATGTCATATACAGCAGATGCCCTATCGTTAGCATTGGCTGAATCTATATTCTCTCTTCCCAGTAATATTTGCACCATAACTTTCAAATTATGTGTTTTTGTACTACTTTGGCACTTGGTTTTGGCTATGCTATATCCATTGGCAAAACCTTTACATATCTTCTCAAATCTCTCCAGTAAATTATTTCTTCTAAGTGCTTCTAAAAGCATACCCGGGACTGACTTTTTTAGTTCGTAAAATATTAGAATTACCCCTTCGGCATCGCCCTTTACTTTTTCTAACCACTGCACAAAATCAGTAAGAGCTGAAATCTCACTTTTTGTTTTAAGGAACTGGCCAGTCCTCATGTCCTTCAATCTTCTGTACCTAATCGTGTTGAAAACCCTAATGTTGTGTTTACGGCTATAAAAGGGACTTAGATCAGAGAAGGGCATTATATATTGAGAAAAAGTATCGTTTGGGGTATAGCCAGCTATTTGGACAATTTCATCTATCAGTCTTCGGCCTGTAGTATCTACAGCCCAGCCTACCAGACGAAATTTTCCCGTGGAAATACCTTTAGCTGGAATATCAGGTATATTTGGTCCAGTATTTTCATCACTTGAACTTGATGTATCATGCTGCACCATGGTGTCTATCCTGAATAGAATCTATAAAAATATAGTACTTTAAACATAACACACGTGGCCGCGACAAATACAATCTAAAACCCCGCCTAGGTTTTGTGGTTTTTACATTTCAAAACGCAGCTGACAGTGAAATTAAAGCTTATCAGTTTTAAGAAACTTACAATTATTATAGGTACACTAATATCTAACAGAATTACAACTATATTTTTATTTACTTACGTTAAGCACGGAGAAGATGAAATCGTGAAATGGACTTAAAATAGAAATGCATTCACATGTGTCAAATAGGAGGGGATTTACAAAAAAAACGGAAGTGCATAAAAAAGGTATTGCGGGTATTTTAAACGTATTAATAAATTATTCCTTACCTCTTTCAAATATTAGTGAAATATTTATCTTAAATCAACAAAATTGTTAATTATTACGAAACAAAAGAGCACATATACTAAGTAATAAACAAAACCGTATGTTACTTGATTATAGATTTTCATTCAATGAAAGTCGAGTGAGTTTATCATATTTGACGGCGATTGAAACCAGAGAAATTGAAACTGAAATCTGAAATGTCACTAGCGCTCTACCGTGTATGATATTGATGATATATTTATGAAAAGCTGAAAGCTAAAAATATAAATTAAGCGAATAAAGTTAAATTAATTATAACGTAATACAAATATATTACAAATTTTTCTTTGAAAAAAGTAATAAAATTTATCGTTTTAAAATTCCCGCCATTTCCAAATTCCCTAACAAAATTTAACCTTAGATCACACAAACATTTCAGATCACAGACATTTACACTGGTAAGAGCCAAGGATGTATCTTTTTACGCATTCGAGTAATTTATGAAAAGAATTATAGACACTCCATAAAGTGTCCGTAATTTACTCAAAAAAGATAGAAAAACTACGGAGAAAAACTAATAGGGGTATTACCCTAATAGGTATACCAACTAATAAATACTCTTTCTCGTCTAAACCCAACAAACTAATAAAATAATTTATTGCCCAGATTTATTGGTACTGCCTACATTTAGATTGCTTCGCGAACAATATAGGTAATATTTTCAACAAAAAATTATCCACTATTATTTAAAACAGATTTTTAAACCTAAACATTTTTTACATTACAAAAAGTTTGTTACATTAGATTTTTACGCACCTCCCGTTTTAAACTTTTAGAACCCCCATCCCTGTTTCAAACTAAACACAGCCCTTGGACATCCTTTGGTACAGCTCTAGGGGCTCTATGGCGGAGAAGGTGATCGATATGAACTATACAAAAATCGAGTACAAACAAACTACTACTACTACTACTAGTGTTTGACATAAGGTTTGACACGTTTGACAACAACTACAACAACCAACAACAGTGAAAATAAGTGAAAAAGATTGGAATTCTTAAATTTGCTAATTAGTTATAACTTGGTAATTATAGAGTTAATTACAGTTCTATTACAAATAGCTAAATAAGTGTATAAGGACAATAAGGCTTAATATCTTATTTAAATTTGCCAGCAAAACTTCGGTAAAGTTTTAATAATACCTAACAGAATAGAAAGTCAAATAAAAACTGTAGACAGGCAAGTATAACAAGAAAATATTACTTCCTCCTCGTCAGAACAATTCTTCGTTAAATTAGAATGTAACATTCATTAACAAAGTATATTTTTAAATTAATTTTTATTGTATTATTATAAACAATTACAAGTACTTAAATTGAACTTTGTTTTTGTTTATCAAAGGTCAAATACCTACAATATATAAATGTTCTTGATTAAAACCAGTGGCGCATCTAGAGATGAGTCTAGGAGGGATTATGCCAATATTTTAGTAAAGTACTAGCAGTACTAGGTTTAAAATTTGCGCTGAAAGGTATTGTAACTGCGAAAAAAATAATCTTGGATTGATCTTGATTGTCTATTTTGATAGGTGTGTTATTTCAGTATACCATTATTTCTTTTGAGGAAATTTTATACCACATTTTAACTTATTTATTTATAAAAATCTTTTTCGGTAATTACTAATTATCCTCATTACTCCTCCTCTATATGCGCCCCTGATTAAAATTACAAACTAGTTAATGTAACGATAAGATATTTTAGGATTTTAACATTTAATGCTTATAAACTAAAATGATAGCATTTAAAGCTAATATTAGAAACTAAAATAATGGTCGCCATTTTCTAAACTTTATAACTTAACTTACAGTACAATGTCTGACTTGAGTTTTGATGGAAAAGTTGCTATTGTTACTGGAGCAGGAGCAGGACTTGGCAGAGCATATGCCCACCTACTAGCATCACGAGGAGCAAAAGTAGTGGTTAATGATTTGGGTGGCGGCCGACATGGAGATGGTAGCTCAGCTAAAGCTGCTGATACTGTTGTTGAAGAAATTAAAGCTAATGGTATTTTAAACCACGTTTTTTATCACTCTAGAATTCAATATTACTAATTTTAGGAGGTACTGCTGTAGCAGATTATAATTCTGTTGTCGATGGAGATAAAATTGTTCAAACAGCTTTGGATAATTTTGGAAGAATAGATATATTAATTAACAATGCTGGAATTTTAAGAGATAAAAGCTTTGCAAGAATTTCTGATCAGGATTGGGGTATATTTATTATTTTTTAAAAATTCTAAACGTAATATTATTAATTGTAAATTGTAGACTTAGTCCATGCTGTTCATTTAAAAGGAAGTTTCAAGACTACCCAAGCTGCATTTCCTGTAATGAAGAAACAGGGATTTGGTCGTATTATAATGACTGCATCAAATTCTGGATTATATGGTAATTTCTCCTTATAATATTAAAAAGCTATATTTATTGTCTGAATTTATTTAGGAAATTTTGGTCAAGCTAATTATTCTGCTGCAAAAATGGGACTAATAGGACTAGCTAAGACTGTTGCAATTGAAGGGTTCAAAAATAATGTTTTTTGTAATATTATTGTACCTACTGCTGCTAGTAGACTTACAGAAGACATTTTACCTCCTGATATTTTTGAAGCTTTAAAACCAGAATATATAGCTCCAGTTGTTGTATGTACCACTAAATAAGATTTTAGAGCATTATTATATATTATTCACCAATTCTAGGCCTATTTATGTCATGATTTATGCAATGAAAATGGTTCAATTATTGAAGCAGCTGCAGGATGGGCTGGTAAATGTACAATATTTCGAGCAAATGGTAGCCTTTTGAGATCATCAGCTACAGATAATGTAACTGTTGAGAAAGTCCATGAAAATTGGTTAAAAATCACTGATCTTACTAGTTCTAGCAGTTTAGGGTATGAATTAAATCAAATTTATTTATTTACATATTTACAAAATAATTTACTAATATAATAGATGATATATATTGAAAAATGTCTATATCTCTGTGGTGGATTCATCTCTTCAAAAAAGTCCAATGGGTATTTCGCCACTTGTACTGTAAGAAAATCTACAAAATAAAATAGGTATTTTTTGTAAACACTGCTGAGTTAATCCAACAGAGACCAGCTTGTCAGCAGTGATTTACTAACAGAGCTACTAGCTCACAGAAAACTTAAGTATTTTTTGATTTAAATCATTTTAATGGCTTAAGTCAATTAAGTCATTTTTCGAAAGTTAAGGCTTAAAATTTAAGTCTTTTTGTAAATGATTTGTGATTTAAATTTTTTATTCCGAAATAGAAAAAGATTTAAGTCTTTTTAGAACAGGCTTAAGTCATTAAAAAGATATAAGTCTTTATAAAAGGCTGAAGTCAGATTTTTATATATTTTTATGATACATTTGTAACAGCAGCAATTCTTTTTAAACTGTTAGATGGCAAACAAGCAGCTGAATAAAAAAGTAATGCTCAATACCACTAGTAAATAAAGTTTTAGATTTTCAGAATCGGTTTGATTATTTGTCGTGTTACGCGTGATTAGTGAGTCTGTTATCTTTCAAGTGAATCCCCGACTCCGTTATGTAGCTCGAAAGACGAACGAAAGAAATTTATACCAAATATATTGAAGAGTACCTTAAAATCCTCCAGCTTATGCCATCTTTATCCTTAGCTTATGCCATCTTCAATATTACATAGTGATCAAAACACATCACCACTTTTTAATAGACATTTGATGACATCTATCTGTAATGGATACATATAAAGTACTACAAAATTAGTTAAATTTTATATAAAAACAGATTTTTGTGTTTGTAGTTGTTCTGAAAATTAACCGTTTTATTTTATGTGGTTTTAGTCTCATCTGTATCTACAATAAGAAGATCGTTAATTGCTAATACAAGAAAATTAATATTAACATTTAAAAGGTACTTATATTGAATTCTGGTTGTCTTGATTAGAGGGTAATTATATTGATTTAAGTCATTTTACTGACTTAACTTGCAAATCATCATGATTTAAGCCAAAAATATAGACTTAAGTCAAAAAAACGACTTAAATAACGTTATATTGATTTAAGTTTTTACAAAAATGACTTGAAATAAAATGAATAAAACTATGACTTGAAAAAAAATGATTTAAGTCAAAGACTTAAGTTATTTGAACTTTATGTTAAATTTGACTTAAGACTCAAATCATTTGGATTTTAGAAATGACTTAAGACTTAAGATTTAAGTCTTTTTAAAACTGACTTGTTGCAGCTCTGTTTGCTAATTAACAAATTTGCCGAACGGACAAAAATCAAGAGAACGTCAACGGTTTTTATAGATGTATAGAAAAAAACTAAACTGTACTTGAGTAGTTGTATTTAGATATTTTAAATAGTCCTTTTCTTTGTTCTTTGTGTTTTTTTTTGCTTCCGACGACGGGAATAGATATGAATATGATATGGTCCAGGGAAAAAACATGATAAGTGCCATTTTACTAACTTTACAGGAGAGCCAGAAAACGCTTTAGAACTTAATGTGACAACTACTATACCTGTAATAATTATGTTTTGTAGGTTTACTAATTACAGTAACAGGAAATTAAATAATTACTAAATCAGAAAAAAATTAATGAAATATAATCACCTAACAACATAAAAAACTGTTTTCAAAATACACTCAGATATGAGGCAGTGGAGATTTTCAAGGGTGCTTTCAGCAACTTTCATATATGTATAGTAACACACAGGTATAACACAAATGGACTTATCAAGTTATTTCCCTGGACGGCTGGTGGTTATCAGGTTCCTTCCCGGTATGTATATTTTTATTAAGCATATATCATCGGATTTAACAGCTTATTGTCCTGCAGAGTTTATGCATTTTGTAGGGACCAGTTAGACCTACTATAATATTATAAAACCCTAAAATTAAGAAATTGGCGCTTATCATGTTTTTCCCCTGTACCCTTCATATACTTCCGGAAACGTTAAGAATTTTTTATCCGTTAGGCAAATTTATTTATTAGTAAATCACTGCTGACAAGCTAGTCTCCGTGAATCTTGATTTTCATGCATCCGTTATTCGAGGATACGTTGATACGATATTAATTTTATTGGTAGAATTTAAAGACTGATTGGTTAGAAAATAACGCAGTTTTTAAATTTATTGCATTTTCATGCCTCCGTTTATCGGATATACGTTGGTGTTATTTTATATTTTCGTTTCCATAAGGATTTTGCTATTTTACTTATATTTTTATTAAGGTGAGATTAAATTTGTCAAAAAAGTGTCAAAACGTCCATTATCGTATGAACGGGTCCAAACGGGTCCGTTGTCGGGCTGAAGTAAAATATTTACGGATGAAAAGTGGCGCGAAAACGCTATGACCAATCAGAGCAGCGTCGGACCATCGTATCAACAAAGGTATCAACGTATAACGGATGCATGAAAATCAAGCTTACGCCAGCAGTGTTTACAAAAAATAACTATTTTATTTTGTGGATTTTCTTAAAGTGGCGAAATATCCATTGAACTTTTTTGAAGAGATATATATGTATATAATAATAATAAAATACTTTAATATACATTAATTTGGTAATATAACAGCATATATTATATATAAAACATAATCTATCTATATCAAATAACAAAATTTTGATTCTGGTACTTAGTAGTGATTTTGAGAAGTTTTTAGATCTATCCAAGAAGCCACAGGTGCCTTAATTCAGTCTCTAGAAAATTTAGGTAACACCCAAGGAACAAGTAGTCAAGAAACTACTGGACAAAATTCTGAAGAAAATGATGTCTTTGAATTTAATGAAAGAGATGTTATACTCTACGCACTAGCAGGTAGGTGTAGAATATATTTAAAAATATACTTTGACAATAAAATTGCTTTATTGTGGCTAAATGATTAGCTTTTTAAAATTTGTAAGTTTTGGTGTGGTTGAAAGACTATGAGAGCCCAAATTAAAAAAAAATAAAATAACAAAAATTTTCCTAAGGTACAGGCTGTTCAAAATAAATAGAAAAAATTAAATTATTTTCTAATTTTATTTATAGTAACGGTAAACAGAGTGTAATAAATGCCCAGTATGTTATTTAACCTTTACCTTTTAACTTTTTGCGATTAAAAAAAACCACTTAAATCTTAGCTTTTTTTATATATTTTCTGGTAACTGAGTCAAGGAAGATTGCGAGAGGTGGCTTCCAAAAAATGACAAAAACATCGTTAGCATGTGAATTGAAATGCAGACCCAACGTTGTACAGACGTACAGACTATAATTTAAATTTGTGAAAATGCAGTTACCATTGAGTACCTATCTATTTAAATATTCACTGACTATTTCGTTTACTAAATAGTAATTGTAATTATAAAAATAACTAGTTTATTATCAGTTCAAAAGTTATAAGCATAAAAGTAACAACAAGAAAAATGGACGACGTCGATCTTCTAACTCTTGTCCTATTAGAAGAAACAGAAGATGGAGAACATTTGAAGACTTGAAGTAAATAATGTTCTAAGTGCCAAATTTAATATTTCCAGAAAAACAATATTTTTGTTATATAACCAATGTATAAGAACGGGCGGTGTCTCCGTTGAGAATTTTTTTAATACATTTTAATAGTCGTGTCACTTAGCGCTATACCCTGCTGGCAAGTGAAACCTTGGGTCGGCATTACCATGTATAGGAGTGAATCGCTATGGCAATCTAGTAAGTTGGAGAGAGCAAAAATACGAAGTATTTATTACATAATCACTTAATTTGACGCTAGATTCCATGCGTTTGGAAAAATACTTGCCTTCTGTCTTTATTCAGTACATCTTATTTGACTAAGCGTGTTGACCGTGCTCTTCGTCCACACGAAAATCGGCACCCAAGACCAAAAATAGCTTAGTAGTATATATAGTAATAAATGTACCCTTAGTATATACAGGTTGGTAATTTGTTTATTACTCGCGGCAAGAGCTTTATGGTTTAAATATGGTAACCTCGGCCCGCTCGTCGAGAGACGACGCGACGGGACGGGTCGGCAGCTTAGCTTAGTACTAGTGATGGGAAAAACCGATTAATTTCAATAATCGAGTACTCGAGTTTCAAGCGATTGCAATAATCGAGCGAAATATCGCTCGTATTTAAAAATACAGTTTTTCGACCGTCGCACATACGGCAAATATGCCAGTTTAGCGTGCCAAAAATAGTTGTATATATTCAAGTGATTTTTTATGCTTGAATTTGCCTGGTCAAATAGACCATAAATATACAGAGTTTTTTTTATTAACAGGATCCTTTCACATTTTGGATAAAAAAATATTTTTCCTAAATAAAGTTCCTACCTTTTTCACTATCTAGGTACTAGGTACGTTAAAAGTTTAACTTTTTGCACTAGTGCAACAATTAACTCATTAGAGCAAAAAATGATAAAAAAATAAATTGTGCAACATATCCAAAACGCATTTACTATGGGGGAAAGCGGATCGATGTTCTCCCGACTACCTATAAAGAAAACCTCTTGTATGAGACGGAGGACAATCGGGGACGCAAATCTTTTAATGCTTATAAAGATAAAGGTCTAATCTAACTGTAAGAGAAGAAACGAGAGTGGTACTAGGTGGAACTTTTTTTATAGCCCTCACACAAACTAGTAATTTACACAAAAAAATGAATAAAATTTATTTCACGACAAGCCTTCCTTACAAATAAAAAAGAAAAATACATTACAATTACATAAATAACAAGTACTAACCTGAAGCTTCACAGTCCATCTTAAAGAAATTATTGGGTAACAACAATAAACAACAGCACCAATTTTAAAAACTAGTGTTTGCATGTTATCGCGAACGTTATCAAAACTTCAGAATTAAAGCGCACTATTTCCGTGCCTATTACTACTTGATTTATTTTTTTTGATGGCATGTCGACAGATAAGAGCTCCAGCGTATTCAGAACAATTGTGCGTGGACAAAATATGTTTTAAAAATATCAGATTTTTTTACTTTTGGCACGCTAAATAGCCATAATTGTCGTATGTGCGTCGCTTGTTGTAAGTACTCGTTAACGCCAAGCGCCAAGCAGTAAGTTGCGTGCGCAGAGCACATATTCTTTCGGTGATGAATGGCAAGTAGCAAGAGATTCGCTTGATCGCTTGATTTATTTTATTTCAAAGCATGGTCGATGTAAGTCGTAAAATTTTGTCCCTCAGATACGCAACGGATAACGTCGTATAAATTTGCTATACTCTGTTTTTTTTCTCAGGTAAGATTTCGACAGACGATGACAGAAGAAAAGCAGATGACGTCCCATACCAATCTATTTATTTAACTAAAAAAAGTTTCTAATAATTTTTAAGTTAACTATGGATGAGTTTAATTATAAATCCGTCATGCGTCGTGTCTTGTTGTTTTTAACCAGTTTTATTGGTTTATTTCATAAATGACAGATCGTATTTCAATTTTATTGGTTTGACGGAACGATAAACGACAAACGGACGCCGATGCGTATGAACTCGCCTTTAGATTTTTGACGTTTGTCAAAGTCTTACCAAATTATAGGTTAGAATTTTGTGTCAACTTTTAGTCAAGTACTGCGTTTTGGAAGATGATGCATTTTGATTCGTGTTGTTACGTGTGTTTTGTGTCTTTTGAAATCAAGTGGAGGAAAAATCGAGTGAAAATTAACTGTAGACCCAGAGCACAGTTTATGGTTAATATTCGCTGCCCAGGCAGAAAGTCTTATACACCAATAAAGTTACCATCAATAAAGTTCATATACCATCTCGTCGTAGATAAGTGCATCTCGAATATGGTAGAAGGACCATACTAAAACATACTAAAAACTGGAGTAGCTATAAAATATCGACATCACACGATAGGTAAATAATGGATTTTAGTACTGCAGAAAAATAATGTCAAAAGGTACCTACTGGTTTAAAAAAATTAAGATTAAAGTTAATTAATTAACCTTTAAGGTATAAAATTTGGTAAATGTTATTATTAATAAAATAGTTTGTTTTATTTATGTGTTTTATTTATTCCTGGGGAATATTACAAATTTGTATTTGTACATAAGTTATATTGATAAATATAATCATAAATGCGGGAAGTTTCATAAAGCTTGAAAGTAAGAAATAGTTCTTTTTTATATTTTTTTTGTGTGTGGCGTCTTGTTCTTGTTTGTTTTGTATTAACACATACCGTTCTTTATTAAATAAAATAACTCGATTACATTTTTTCAGTTTTATACAGTTTTTTTCACAATATTTTGAAGTAATCACTTGTCCTTGTCAGTCAAATTTTAAATATATTAATTTCCTGCCATGCGTTCCAGTTGTACCAACTTATTTCTTTGTAAAATAAAATAAACTACTTTGAAATTAAAATGACAGACACATCTATCACTGTCAAGGATCTTCTCGTTGGACAGACTTTACCTGCAATTATGGAGGCTAGAACATAGACAAACTAACAAAAGCAAGACGCGTCAACGCTGTACTGCAAAACGGTAACAAGTTTGATAAGAGTTTATTACCGCGCTTGCGTCAACTGGCCTTTTAGACGAGGACAGTTTACTTATGGATTGTGTATTTTGTAAAAAGGATGTTTAATTAATAAGCGTTTATTAAAATCAAATACATTTATTTCCATCGGTAAAATAAACAATAATTTCTGGACATAACAGATATAAAAACAAAAAAATCAAATAAACGAAAACGTACTGCTCTTTAATAGGTACGGTCGCAGGCAAAAAAAAACTGGGATAATCTAGGGAACTAATAGCATTAATTTTGACAAATTGAATGCATTTTAAGTACTGTCAAAAATTAGGGTGCCTTTAGATTCCTAGATTGTCCCAGTTTTTTTTGCAGGAATTCAACAGTTCGTTCAAGGCAAAAACGTTTTTCGTTTTATTTAGGTTAGGTTTTACGAGTGCGACTGCGCGATGAATTCTGACTCAACTGGCCAGCGCAAAAACAATAATTCGATTTCCTCAATCCTTTGAAAAGTCTTGCTTTTGTTAATTTGTCTATGGGCTAGAAGGAGGAGGCGAATCGAACGCAAAAATTATGGGCCCAGTTTTTGAGATCTAAATGAAGTTCAAAAATCGCCGTTAGGGGCGCATGTGATCCGACAGATTGAGAAATACACAGCTTCTTATGGCAAGAATTACTATTTTGTTATAAATTATAGAGTTCAGTTAATATTTGGGCATATTTTTACCAGATTTAGCTTCTAGAAACGTGTTTTTTCTAATTGAACAATGTGCGTGGCTAAAATTGTGAATACAAAACCTGAAATTTGAGTTCGAAAAGTAAGTTAGAAGTTAGGTTATATCAGATGCCGGTTTTAGATATTCTTTTTCTAAGTTATTATAAAATTGTTTCATTATATGGTTCTTTTTAGTGCATACACGACCGAAGAAAAATATAAGCTGCTAAAATAAATCTTCCCTATAACTGTTGTACAAAAAAGATAGAATTTTCAGCAACAAATATCACCAGTTCAATCTTTGATTTGATTATCTAATTGTTTCTTGATGACAAATGCGAATTAAATAGTTTATGGTGTGATTGTGTTAGTGATTTATTAATAGTTTTTCATAAAAACATTTGAAATTGATATGTTTACAAGCAGTTCAGTGTGATATCATTTTAATAAACATTAAAAACTTTCGTAACAAACTAGTTGTGGTTTTACCGCAATTGACAGAAACTGAATCACGAAAATTATTAAAAGTATTTTATCAGGAATAACTTCAATGGAAAGTGAAGATGAACACTACTGTTGCACCCTTTGGTCAGTGTTATCTATCCCATAACTTTTTATAGCTGAAGCCAGAAAATAGGTACATTAAGCTGAAATGTTTCCTGTGTCCAATAGTGTTTTTTCTTTAGATTTTCCGAATTTAAGTTTTAATGTCATTAGCAAAGTTTTGCAAATTGTCACTGTTTCGTAGACAATTAAATTCAAGATGTACCTATTATATTCAACGTCACCTAATAATTGTAAAGGTAAATTTTTGTAAATAAAATATTAATGAATAAATAATGAACTCAATTTATTTTAAAAGAGTTGTAAATATGTATACTGACACTGACTTATTTCATCATAATAATATATTTATTTATTTAGCAATATTAATACATTACAACTTTTGTTTTTATTAACTGACTAATTCCACTAAATTTAATAATTAAAATATACAGTATATAAATTTAATATACAATTTAGCACCTATACCAAAAAAATATAACAGGAACATGTTATATCAAGAACACAAAGAATTATAATTTAAAAAAATGCATTCTAAATAAATACCTGGCTACAATATACCTACATATTAATTTAAAGAGCTTATTCATAAAAAACTATTCTAAATGGTTATATACACAATCAAAAGTCCTTCAACCACTGTACATTATTTTTCAATTTAAATGAAGCATCTCGGGTAAGTAAATTATTTTATATTAGAATACTATATTGCTTTGGCGTAAATTCACTTTCAATAGCACTGTTCAAATGGTGGTTAATACATATCAACAAGTAATTTTAGCCACCAGCTAGTAGGTAAATTATTTTTATTTTATAACAAGGTCTCCTAGGTTATGTTACGCAGATGTTGATTTTAGGCTATATTCTCTATTAATTTGAATTTAAAATTAATCTGTACACTGATAGTATATAATTTGAATGTTTTTCTTAACATCTATCCATATTTTTTTAAATAAATAGTTATACCACTTACATTAGGACCTTTGAAAAGACTTGGGTTTCTTTCACCCCGTTCTTTAATTGCCTTTTTTCCACTGAAAGTCCCACTTATACAGCCAGGTACGAAGCAAGATCTATTATATAGGGTTTTTTTAATCACACTCATTGTTACATTGCTAATAGTTCAATAAAATAACTATAAATTTTAAAGAAAACTAGTAAAAACACAGTTAAATCGTATTCTAACAATGCAAATGATCAATCTAACCCGCTTACAGTGCCTCTGGTGTCAAACCGAGAAACTTGCTTTAAAGTAGGGACAGAAATTTCAAATATGCCCATTGTCGATTCGCCTCCTCCTTCTAGCCTCCATACCTGCAATGCATGTAGAAAATTCGCTCGGCTTTTTATCGAGTATGTCACATTAAAATCGGATTTCAATTTATTTCATTCTAGGATCGCTTGCGTTTGTCGCTAGTAACTCGTCACTTGCATCGCTCGTTCATAATCGAGCGATGTCGGTTATTCCAATAATCGAGTACTCGAGCGAATTTTCGCTTGAGTTATCCCATCACTGCTTAGTACTCATTTGGAATGTAGGCAGTGTTGCCATTCTGTTCCCCAATAGGTAACCCTTCAGTTAACAATCTGTATATTTTGTTGGTTATGGAATTTAGGACATTTTACAAATAAAAAAGGAAAATCCGATTTTTTGGCACCTCGAACATTATTTACTTCAAGTCTTCATTTGTTAAAACTTAAAACAAAGTCTATTACAGAAAGAATATAAAGCCTAATTTTTATGCATCCGAATTTCGGACATTTTCTGTGGAAAAATAATGTCATAGATATTAAGAAGTTAAGGTTTTTAACAAGAGAGTTACGTTCAAATATCCTACAGTTATACAACATAATAAATCGCAATATTTTAACGAATATATTAAAAATAAGAAAAAATCAACGTGATTTTTACTGACGTGAAGTTAGAATATTATGGTTGATTGAAAGAATTAGGAAGATACAACCTAATGGGCTAATTCGTCGGCCAGCGAAGGCATATCGAAGACGGTGTAGAACTGAAAATAAAAATGACATGTCACTGTAATACGTTTGACGAAAATATCTTTGGATGAAAAATGTGTTGAAAATTTATTCGTGTTAAACATAGAATAAACACAAAAATAAAAATTCTTTTATTGGTACTGAATATTTCGTATGATCGAAAAAAGTCGTTTAGTTGGCTTGGAAATGACGATTATTGACATTTACCATAATATTTTACATGTGAAATAACAGCGATCTTCATTTCCAAGCCAACTCTGAAGCCGTTCTTTGTTTAATCATCTAATATTATATTAAATTGTCTAATGATAGAAAATCCGTATTATTAGCGTACTGTACCCAAAATCTGCATTTCTGGCAATACTGTCTTCGGCAACCCCCCACTCTGTCGGCTGAAATTAGAACTACGGTACAGTATTCTTTATTCGCTGCGCTGTAAACGACTATCATCGCGCAACGGCGCAGAGCTAAACTAAGTCTCGGAATTCTCGAACAGGCTGACCGTAACGCCAGCTATATCTCGGACAGGTTTTGTGCCACGAAAAAAGGTTGCGCATCTTCTTATTTCTTCAATCAACAATACTATATAGTATACTAGATAAAACATTACATAATATACCGGGTGCGTCTCAAAAGTGGCTCACACCTATAACTTTTTTATTTTTTTCAGATAAAAATCGAGATTTGGTGTGTTAGTATATGACATAAATTAGGATTGATTGACGTATTCAATTGTTTTTGGTCATTTCCTGTCTCACCGGAAATGACTACAACTTTTGATTTTTAAATGGCACCCACGGTATTTTTTTACTTTTTACGATAGAAAATGACATTCTGAATAGAATGACATACCATATGTCAACTTTTGACATTCTCGGTTAATAAAAAATTGTATTTTAAATTTCAATCTAGAGTGCCATGGCTATGTTAAAAACACTAGTTCTTAATCAAGGAGCCTTGGAAAAATAGATTTGATCGTCTAATATTTTTAGTGTCTTGTCCTGGCCAGTTCGAAAATGTCCAAAACGTATTTTTAATTATATCTCAATTTTTTCAAACGGAACGAGGGTGGCTCATTAGCATATTTGGAAAAAGCATTTTTTTACGAATAATTTGATACCACACACTTGGTATTTCGAATTAAATTTTTATACGAACCGCAAGTTATAATTTCAAATAAACCATATGCGAAAATGTCAAAAGTTGACATATGGTATGTCATTCTATTCAGAATGTTATTTTTTTTCGAATAAAGTAAAAAAATACCGTGGGCGCCATTTACAAATCAAAAGTTGTAGTCATTTCCGGTGAAACAGGAAGTGACCAAAAACAATTGAATACGTCAGTCAATCCTAATTTATGTCATATACTAACATACCCAATCTCGTTTTTTTGTCTGAAAAAATAAAAAAGTTATAGGGGTGAGCCACTTTTGAGACGCACCCGGTATATAGTTTGACTTGTGAGCTCAACTTTAACCTATTAGACTTGTTTGCGTGTAGAACAATTCTTATATAAAGAGGAGTTTTAGTATTGCAGTATGTAAATACTATAGAACACTGTTTTTATCCAGAAACTGCTGTTTATAATATGATTACTACGGTACAGTATTCTTTATCCGCTGCGCTGTAAACGACTACCAGCGCGCAGCGGCGCTGCGCTAAACTAAATCTCGGACATCCTGACAGTAACGCCCGTTACATCTCTGGTTGCGCATCTTATTTTTTCAATCAACGATATTATCCTTCAGTGACTGCAGTGACTCCATCTGTTGCTTATTCTGTTAAATGCTGAGAAATGCCATTAGAATTTTTAGGCGCCTCTTTAACTATTAATAAATAATATAATAATAATATGTAAGTTAATGTTAATTCCTTGAATTTTGATTATGTGAATTGAACTTTACAATAAAATCGTCAGGTGTGATTATAGAGTAAAACACTGGATGGGGGGGGGGGATAAAACAAATGAAATCCTATATATTTTACAAGAATCACCTGAAAATTTTAGATATTCATCAAATTGTATTAACCAGACTTTATGTATATCCTGATAAGATAACCTATTTATAATTAATTCTTAGCATTAATAAATAATATTGTCATTGTTTTCAGTTGGCGCTTCTCTAACACAGTCTTCTGAACTCAAATTTTTATATGAAGGACACGATCAGTTTTCGATACTACCAACTTTCTATGTGTTACCTGCTCTTCAGTGCGTAATGTCTTCTAGCTCTACGACAAATGCTGTGCCGGGAAAAGATATAGATTTGAGTAATGTCTTACACGGGGAACAATATATTGAGGTAAAACTCATGTTATCAATGTTAAATAATAAATTGGTGTTTTATGTAATTTGCTGCAGGTATTTGATTTGCCTACTGGAGGACCATTAACATCAAAAGCTAATGTATCTGAAGTATTGGACAAGGGATCAGGAGCGGCAATAGTTTCAGATAGTAATTTTTTTTTCTGATTTTGTAGCTTCAAAACTCAAAATTTGTTTTTTTAGTTAACTCCTTTGACAAAAATGGGAATGTAGTCATTAAAAATCAAATTGTGACTTTCGCCGTAGGAGCTGGAGGATTTGGTGGTCCAAGAACAGGAACAAAAATTATTCCTTGTCGGCCAAAACCAAAGAGATCGCCAGACGCATCCATTTCACAGAAAACTAGCTTAGATCAGGCTGCACTGTATCGATTAACAGGTGACATTAGCCAGTTTATGCAAAATTCTTAATTTCCAGCAATTTCTTTTGATCAATTTTTAGTGGGGCGACTATTTACTTGTAAAAGTGAAATCAATACACATTTTCTTATGGAGCGGATCGGCCGACTATTTGGCTGCATGTGAGCGCGGCTCCATAAGAATACATTTGTTACAGATCTGCAACTAAATAGTCGACTGACTGGAAATTGCCTATCAGCGCCTAGCCTTATTCATTAGAACTTTTTCGTCAAGTTATATGAGAAGAAATTTCTGAGATACAGCCGACATCCATTCTTAATTGGCCACTCGTTACACATGAAAAAATTAGTGGTGGGAAAAACGGTTATTTTTAGATAACAGTTGAAACTGTTATAGTTATTTATAAAAAAACAGCTTAAAATAACAGCTTTAATAACAGGTTTCTTTATTTTATTGCTAAATATCTGAAAGTAATAAGTAATATCCTTGAATATAAAATTGTATAATATATACAGTATGTCCCCGGATTGTCTTTATAAAAGGAAAAACTTTTTTATTGTTGATATTTTGAGAAAAACGCGTTCTTCATAAAAAAATTTGCTTCTTCTTCGAAATCGAAATTATGTTACCATAGAAACGCCTTTTTATTTTTAGAACTTATATCAACCACATATTTGGAAAAGTATAAACGGGATTACGAGTAACCATAGAACAAGCAAACATTTTTATAAGAGAATACATTTTTCTAAAAACGACAATAATAAAAAAGTTTTTCTTCTTATAAAGACAAAGTCTATAATTTAGCCTTTACTTGTTTTAGAAGTTGAAAAGTAATATCTTTATTTAGTGTATTTTTAGTATCTAATGTTTGTTGTATCATTATCTCTGAATAGTATTTTTTTTGAAGAGGTTTAAATCGCAGCAAAAGCAACGAATATACATTATTTAAAATTAATATTATCCTCAATGTGTTTGCTACCTTTTAAACGGTCTTTTCTTAACATAGTGTTTTTATTCTTATCACCATCTATAACAGTAATAGCGTTAGACAGTGGTGAAAAATACCGATGGTAATATATTTTGTATGATTATGCAAAAAAAACTATTACTTCGCTACTATTGTAATAATTTAAGACTGGGAAAATTTAGAAAAACTCAAAACTTTTTTTTTCTAAAGCATTTCTTTAGAAAAATATACATATTACTAAATAATTAATTAAATTGTTATTTCCATTTTTTATTAGGTACTTCTCGTTATTATTATAAATAAATGAATCACTAAATTTCTAAGCACCATTCACAATTTCTTAAATTAAATCTTAGTAAAATTGTCTTTGAAGAGTTTTAAAATGTAGCAAGAACAATGAAAGTATATATTTAAAGATATTAATAAAAATAACTAAGTAACTGAAACTTAATAACTATGTACTGAAACATACAGCGCCATATCTCGACCTCTGCCCGTTATGCTCGTAACAGGTTTGAAAAACAATGTATAACTGATGCGTTATTCTCCAACCTGTTTCGAACCTCAATCGACAATCGACCGATGCACCAGCGTTACTTTCCCATTCCGATTATCTCGACCGCCGCTTGTTTTGCTCATCACAGGTTAAAAAACAACGTATCTAAAATGACTGCTTATTTTCTATACGTTATTCTCCAACCCGTTGCGAGCCTCCATCGACGATCGACCGATGCAGCAGCGTTACTTTCCCACTCCTGTTATCTCGACCGCCAGGCGTTATGCCCGCAACTGTTTCAAAAAAGCTGCTTTTTTTTATATCCTATTATTTTTAAGCTGTTGCAAGCCCAACACGACCATCGACCGATGCAGCTACGTTCGCCGTAGCGCATTCCCCACTCCGTTTTATCTCGGCGCCGCCTAGTAGTGTACCGATGGTTGTCGAAATAACATGTTTTCCATACTAGTTGTTTTTTGGAATTGCTTCGAGCCGCATAGAATTTAGTGGCGGTGCAGAGCGCCGACTTCGTTTCACGAGGCGTCGATCTCTACATGTCGTTATTTTATATCTGTTATTTTTTAGAAGTAGTAACGGTTGCGTTATGTTATTTCTAAATAATTGTTATAAAATATCAGATAGTTAAATAACAACCCATCACTAGAAAAAATAGTTATAGAATTTTTCTCCGTACTCCCATATGTTTTCAAAATTCTCCCCTTATAGTCTTCAAAGTCTAACCTAACCGGCAACTATCGGATATCAACCGTTTCTTTCTCGATACGTATGTACAGGGTGAGTCAACGATAGAGTAAAGTCCATTATCTCATTTGTTTCGAGGTTTACAAAAAAATGTTAAATACAAAAGTGATAGGGAACATTAAGATACACATTTTAAAATTATTATAGAGTATACAGAGTGCTTCAAAAAAGTGTGGCGGATATAACATATGTTTTTTTAAAGGCAACCCTATTTTTTATTTTATTCTTAGATTCTGCGTAAAATTCTATAACTTTTTTATATATAACGTTATATACCTAAAATTAATAGTTTTTGTAATATTTAAATTTGTTTATACAAATGTTAAATTGCAGTGTGGTAAAAAACTGTCAGTGGTACCATTGTTTCTGAAGTTGGAATACCAAAATTTGGTATGAGAATTCTATAGAGATTAAAAAGAAGATATATGTTAAGATATTTTAGTTAAATGCTACAGGGTGTTCAAAATATATTTATAAATTTCAACTAGTTAAAATTAAAAAATCTAAAAATTTTTAAATGGTACACCCTATATATTTTGATTTTTTCTGATAGATTTTGCAAAGCTCTTCAACTTTTATTAAGTATGTCATATACCTATTTTTATAATTTGCGATTTATTCCAATTTTTTCTATTTTTACTCATATCTTTAATACAATTACGCTATAACATCATAGTTACCATGACAAAAAATAATAATTATTATCAAAATTTCATATGTCTGTTAAGCAAGTTAAGAACAAAAGATGAATTTTAGTTTAATTTGTTGTAATAAGTATAAATGGTAGAGGTAGAGGTAATAGTTTCAGATTTTCCTGAAAATGGATTAGTCAGTGTGACTGATATACACGAACAAGCCAAAATAAACATATTCTTTGGTTCAGTACTATATATTATATAGTACTTTGCTAAGTACTATAAGAATAGATGTAGATTATCTAGAAAATATTTTCATATTATATTATATTATAATATTTTCAGTGTGTAATGGGACGGTTTTCTGGCAGTAGTAATATTGGCTTTACGAAATGAATTATAAACCAGAATTTCTACGAGAAAAAAAACTTTACTGTATGTCGGAGAAAATTTCAATATCAGTAGTCGTCAACAATAATTAGGTAATCTAGTTAGTATTACCCTAATCTGTGGCTATTCGGCCCGACGGAAAATCCAAATGTCATCTTTCATAATATAGAAATACACCAAGAAATTCACGACTACGATTTAAGTTTATTTGAGTAAAGTTAGTTAATCTTGACTAATAATAACAATTGTAACTAATTATTAAACTACTTGTTAAAAATAAGTAATAAATATGTTTGTTTTGTCACGGCAACTATGATGTTTTATAGCGTAATTGTATTAAAAATTAGGGTAAAAATAGAAAAAATTGGAATAAATCGCAAACTATTAAAAATAGGTATATGACATACTTAATAAAAGTTGAAGGGCTTTGCAAAATCTATCAGAAAAAATGTAAATATATAGGGTGTACCATTTAAAAAATTTGAGATTTTTTAATTTTAAGTAGTTGAAATTCATAAATATATTTTGAACACCCTGTAGCATTTAACTAAAATATCTTAACATATATCTTCTTTTTAATCTCTACAGAACTCTCATACCAAATTTTGATATTTCAACTTCAGAAACAATGGTACAACTGACAATTTTTTACCACACTGATATTTAACATTTGTATAAACAAATTTAAATATTACAAAAACTATTAATTTTAGGTATATAACATTATATATAAAAAAGTTATAGAATTTTACGCAGAATCTAAAAATAAAATAAAAAATAGCGTGTTGCATTTAAAAAAACATATGTTATATTCGCCACACATTTTTGAAGGACCCTGTATACTCTATAATAATTTTAAAATATGTATCTTAACCTTCCCTATAACTTTTGTATTTAACATTTTTTTGTAAACCTCGAAACAAATGAGATAATGGACTTACTCTATCGTTGACTCACCCTGTACTGTACCCTGCGCTTATACTACATAGGTACAATACTTTTTTTTTTGTTCCTACAAATATGCATTTATTTCTTTCTTTGTTTCTTATTCTTATTTATATTTTGATATTTCATTAGGTGACAGAAATCCACTCCATATTGATCCAAATATTGCTCCATTAGCTGGTTTTGAGAAACCAATTTTACATGGTTTGTGCTCATTAGGCTTTTCAGTTCGTGTTGTACTACAAACTTATGCTGATCATGATTCAACATTATTCAAAGCCTGCAAGGTAATTGTAACTAATCTTGTATTGGAATAATATAATTTATAGGCTTGGTGCATTTCAGTTGACTTTAAAAGTTCCGACCGCAGCGCTTGATACGGCAGAAATCAGAAGTTTTCGGGTCTGTATTTCACTCCATGTTGATCCCATTAAAACAATATTGAATTCGCGGTTTTGTCATACTATTTAAGCATGTTGGTTTATACTGTGCAGTTATTGAAACTATAACATTCTCATGTATGAAAGTTTTGTGATGTAACGCTGTTTCGATTAGTGAAAATTAAGTGAAAAAAAAACACGAACTGAGCGACGTATTGTGTTGTAACAATGTCGAACGATAAAGAAATTGCCGCAAAAATAGCAACACGAACAGTAGGGCATTATTGCGCGGTTATTGGGTGCGATAACAGTTAATATAACTCTCCAGGAACAACATTTTACAGCTGCCCAGCTATATCACACCGATTTGATCAAAAGCAGAAATGGATTCAGACAGTTTGACGAATAAAGTGAGTAAACAAACTGCCCATTACAGAATCAAAAAATTAAATAGACATATACTATGAGAGGATAAAATATAATTTGCAATATTAATGGTATACTTTATTTAATCAACTAGTGCTTAAATTTTTTATGAACATCTTCTAAAATTATAATTATGTACATTTAAAAAATTTCGTTACAGCCCAAATAAATAAAATAAATTATAATACAAGTTAGACCTTCTGACTGAGGTTATGAAAATATTTACTTCTTTATTTTTTTGTTTAGAATTTTCACAAATTATATTTCGTAACACTTACTCTAAACTAGACTACACGATATTCTCCGATGGTGGCAGCACCGGCGGATAATGCACCAAGCCTATAATATTGTGATGTTATTAACAGTAATCTAAAACTGTAATCTTTCTAAAACTATAGTCTTTCCAAGGGGAGATTATATGACAGTAACAATTGTTGTGTATAATTTTAATAAAAAGTTGATTGGATGTCGTCTCTCAAAATTTCGAAATTTTCCTTTCTCCCGCTGGACAGGCTTTATCAAATTGTTTCTTAGGCCAGATTTACCAAACCTGTCATCCCTGGACAAACACTCAAAGTTGATATGTGGAGAGAAGGCAATAGAATTCATTTTGAAACTGCAGTTGTTGAAACAGGAAATGTGGTGATAACAGGTATGTAATACTTATTTAATTTCTTTTTTTAATGTGTGGTGTTTTTTTCACTGTGTGGATTCACTTTTAAGAAATTTACATTGAGGCTAGATAATCAAATAGGTACAGGCCGAAGTATACCTAGTCGATATTTTATAGTTATTTTTATTATAAAATTTGTTATGTATTTTTATAAAATCACGAAGAATGAGTCTTATTGGGAGCTATTTTAGTTAATATATTTATTAGCTATATTTTTATTCAACTATTTAACTGGAATCAGTGTAAAGTGTTACTGGTTTCAAAAATAGTAGACAGTTAAAGCACGGGCAGATACGTAGACGTAAACGTATCGTTTGACATGTACGCTCGCGCATTGAGAAATTCACTTACGTTTACGAATATGTTATACGTAACTTTGCGTGCCTTTACGTACATACAAAACTTGATGCCAAACGTACTAATAAATTCAAATCGACAAACACTTGCGACAAACATCTGTTTTAATACCTGGCTCTCTGACCTTGGCTAGTTATTAGTAGTTATTTGAGATATTTCAGAAATGTTTGGTCTTTTGGAACAGGAAATGGGCCTATTTTAATATAATAAATTAACCATTGTACAGTGTTACAGATTTTAAGTTTACTTATATTTGTAGTGCACATTTTAAGTTTTTAAGTAATTGATTGCTTAAGTGGGCATGTGCGGGTATTTGACAACCGGGGCCGGGGTGTAACTTTGTTCAAGTTAGCAACCGATCGTTTAGAAACGATGTCGAAGCATGATCGGTACTATGGTCATTGCAAAACTATTGTCGCTTTATCATATCGGGTATTCTCGGCAAATACTGCGAAATATGCTATCATCCAGGTATCATCACTATCACACTCTTGCACACATGTGCGACACGGTCTAGGCAGTCGCCTCGCCACAAAACGAGAAACCAGAATATCGCTACGAATCGATGTTGCTACTGAACATAGTGCCTCAAGCTACAAAATTACTTTGCTATCGCTTTGAAACATGAACAAAGTTGCACCCCCGGCTGGCGAGATCTTTTATTTTAGGTTATGTTTGAATGGGCTCTTCCACTATATTTTGGAATTAGCATAATTGAATAAAGCAATCAATTCTAGAATTTTCTGCTATCTCACTTTCGAAAAATTTGAAGTTAAGAAAATAAATAAAAACGAAAAAGCCCAGAATAAAAATCCGCACTTTATTTTTAATACGTCACACCTGGCATGTTGAAAAGCGGCAACATGGCCGCGGCCGGGCCACCATGGGGCCACCATGCTGACCCACCACCACATCCACGCAAGGCCATTCAACCTATTCCAATATGGCGGAGATAGAAGTGCTTTATTTGCCGCGTATTTAAAACCTGTTTTATTTCCAAATAGACATTTTTCACACAAATGTCGGGTTAGATTACGTAATATTGCACTAATTTTTTAATATACAGGGAGTCTAAAGTTCTCCGCATAAGTATGGAATTTTTTGTATTATTACTTTTATGAAAACATCAGTTAGTTACTTTTTATAAAAAGGTCTGCTTTCTCAGAAAATAGGTAGTGTTAAAATATTCAAACTTGAGGTAGCATATATGGGGTGTTCAAAATCATCGGAAAAAGGAATAACCAGAAATATATGACAGAAAATAGAAATATAAACTAAATATTCAATTGCAAACACTTACCTACCAACAACTGTTGCAAACACTTAAACTACACTGGCTTGGGTCAAAAAATATGGAATATTTTTTCTATGTTTTGCAGCATTACACAAATTGGAATAAATTTAAACTATAATAGATGTGGATAAATAAAAAATATAATATGTGTTTCAAGATTTTATATAGAAAAAAAACTAAATACCTTTTTGGGGGTTCGTAAGTAAAACTTACGCTTAGCTTAGTTTTCTTTACTCTTTCTCTTTACATAGGGCATAGTCTTTGTGGTAAAGACGTCATACCTTTTTTTTGCATAGTTCTTCAATAAAATATTCGATATTCTGAAGATGGATTTAATAATAAATTCTGACGTATGTGAGGGGCAATTGTGACCTAAAAAAAGACTTACATCCAGGCCATTTATATTTTCAAATGTCAATGTTGTCAATATCTTTCTGTGATCTTTTTGATGTAAAAAGCTTGATTTTTCTTCCAATATTTTACTTATAGTGAGGTAAGTGTAAGCTGTAGCCATAACTACATCCTCACTAGGGTAACAGTGAGGAGTAATTTTTGAGGCATATTTAATGCACTTCTTACCCGAGAACTACTAGTAGGAGTGAACTTATCTCTTTTAATAGCTGTCAACCATTTTTTACAAAGCTCGTCATTTTTGGGGAATATAAAAGCAGAAACCTTGGGACCCTCTCTATTCCCGTGACAATTTGGAACAGAGCATGTAAAAGGCATGCTACAATAAAATATTAATAGCTACCCTTTAATACCTATCTTTTGATTATTGTAAGCAACCATTATAGGTCTGTTCTCAGAAGAATCCCTGACTAGCCAGCACGTTTTTCATTGGTTAAAATGCGTAGAAACCTGATTGTTAGTCTGGTTTCTACACATTTCAACCAATAAGAAACGCGCTGACTAGTCAGGGATTCTTCTGAGAACAGACCTTATAAAGTACTATGCAGACTGGCGGCGAAAGCTTTTTACTCATTTAGGTGTAATATCTTGATAAATACTTCCAGTTCTTACCTTAAAATAATTAATAATAGAGGAGTACGACAAGCACAAAAGTTTGAAGTTCCCTATGTGGAATGTCTGGTTTGAATTTTTATTACACTGTTTTTTTATCACAATTTTCTGATCACACCATGCACTGAACACTAAGAATTAAACAAACGTGTTGCAGAAGCACAACAAACTAGAGATAATTAATTATTTCTGGTATGCAATCGGAACGAGAAACCACTACCGGCTTTTCAGGTTAAAGGTAAACAGTTTAATAATGCGCTGCCTTCGCCGCCATATTTACCTTGCCCATATCATGTTGATTAGCCTTGAGTTGAGGTGGTGGTGGTCAAATCAAATCGCAATGTTGCCAGTTGTTGGCTGGCGCACGAGCACGGTTCTGCAATGTGATTGGGCGTATTTTTCATACGTCATCAATTGGCAGTTTAAAATTATTTCAAATTAAAGCAATTTTGAGGGCCTATAAAAAAATTATTCAATGTCATGGAACTATTTTTTTTTGGATAAATATACTGAAAATAGTCTTCTATTTCAGATTTTGTCCTTAAATTGGGTATTTTATTTTTTGTGAAAGAGCCCATTGTTTTGAATTATTACTTTAGTTTTATTACGTAATTTGATATTTAAGTAGCTGGGATTAGTTTTAATTAAATAAATATGGCTCAAAATATGGATTCCACCTCTTCCAATATTAAAGAACCTATAAAGAGGCCTAGGTTTACAGCAGATGACGACTTAGCCCTCCTAAGAGAATTTGTTGCTTGTTGCCCTAAACCCACTGGCAAACGTTAAACAATAAAGCACTGGAAATAAGCACTTTAACCCTTTAGTTTTAAAATACCTAGTAAACAAAACAATTTCAAAGTTTTAAATTCAAAGTTAGGTTAAGTTTAAATAGCGGACGCGACGCGAACAGAATTCTTTCCGATCCGATAACTATAAATGAAGAGAGTTGAGTTAATACCACCTCACGTAAGGGAAATAACATCTGGCCTTATTAACGTCCATGCACGCTATTCGGTTTAGCGATATCTCTCTATTACGCTGTTTATTGTTATTTTATGCGAATTTATTTTTGCGCACAGGAAATTTTACTCGTTTGCACATCGTCATAAAAAATAATTTTCGTACCACGAATTTGGGATAAGATTTTTATCTTTATACATATAGTATACCTAATCTTAAAGCACAGATCTGTCTAGTTACTTTTTTACGTTAATAATGTTTCTCCGGGAAATTAAATTATACCCAACTGTATTATAATCAAAGACATTATAAAGATAGACCGAACATATCATTCATAAATACTCGTTGGTAGTGTATCAAACATTCCAATGTGTCAAACAAGGACAGAAGAGACAGAGAAGTCTAAAATTTCCGTCCCCGGCAACTAGGCGCATTTGGACTGTTCTATTGGCCAGTGGCGTATCGTTTTTTGGAACGAATTTAACTAGTAAAGTAAAAGTAAATTAATTAGTAAAATTTATACTCCATATTAATATACTACATTAACACTTTTTCGTCAGATGAGTTTTGTTATAAGGTCTAATATAATAATATAATTAACATGCCACATATACCTATGTTGAAACGTTAGTAGGTGGTTTTCGAAAATCGATCCAACGTCGATTTTCAATTTAAACTTTCAGTTACTTCTATATAAACTTTCAGTTACTTTTGAATATTTACAGGGTGACTCAGGCTTCCGGAACAGTTCTATATTAGGTTTGTGGTTGGTGACTTTTCTTTCATTTTTTTTTCAGAATATGGAGGCAATGGTAAAGCACATTTTAGACATTTTTGTAAACATAGGTGGCCGGAACATATTTTCAAACTAGTTCAAAAGTTGTAGATTTGCCATTAAATTTCCATTCCAGAAATACCTAGGGTTGCCACCTGTCCTTTTTTGAAAGGACAGTCCTTTTGGAATAACTTGTCCTTTTGACTTTTTTACTTAAAAGTCATTTTTATTTTCGTATTTTCCTGAGAAAATTACCTACAGCAAACAGAAATATTCTTTTAGTCCAAATTTAATTAGAGATATTATAAAACTTATAAATAAATTTTTCTTGTTTAGAATAGGCAACATTATTTAGAACTTCCCGTTTAATCTGAAATGATAGTTTAGGTTTTAGTTTTACCTTTTTTGATCTTAAAAAGAACTTCAAAATTAGTAATTAGTAACGATTTAGTTAGTTCGCAATCGATAGCTTCCTGTGAAGTACTGTGTAATAGTTGTTTAATCTTGTATTATTAATAACTTTTCTTATACCTAAAATCAATATTTAACGAGAAAATTGTTTTTTTGAAAATATAAGACAAGATTTGACTTTCGCTCTTCTTCTTGTATTATGATGGCTCTGATACGAGGCAATTACCTTTTAGTCTCTCAGTAGAAGGCATTTATCATTAAAAGTATCAAATCTGTGTGCTACAGTATGGGATTTCTGTCGCATAATAATGAATATTACGTTTGCTTCATCTACGTTACCGTAGATGGAGCTCAAAGTTTGGTAGGGTTTGTATAAATAAACAAAATACAAGAAGCAAAAAAATATTTAGGCCTAACCCCTACATATATGCTTATTCTCGGCATTAAGTTCATCAGACTGAAGGGAACAGCCATTCGACGGCTGGTTTCGGAGATTTATCTCCATCGGCAGGCCGACTTTGCTGTAATCCTCAATCCGACAAACGAAAAGCAGAAAATAGCATTTGAGTACAAAACGTACTACTATGGCGAGTGCTAGATGGCGAGAGAAGCTAGTAGTAATAGGTAAATAGCTTTTTGGAAGCCTGGGTCACTGTATATAGGTATGTATAAAACTAGTAGCCTAAGAATTATTTACAGTTCGTCCCATTCTAAAAAAAAGGTAAACACACCGTACAAATAACTCTAGGAAGAGGTATTTGTACAGTGGTAAAAAATTGTCTAAACAAGACCGAAGGGGCAGATAAAATGTAAAAAAGGTCGGGTAACACCTTTGTTTATTTGTTGAGCAAAATTCCTTTAGAATATCGTATATAATGACCAAAAATGACACAATTTTAAGAAAAAAAATGTCACTTTCTGGCTTATAATTAAATTTCAAATGCAACGTTTATATTCATATTTGTTATGATCTACCACAGTTAGGTACTAATTGAGATGAATTATAATTCAATTACCGGCTACTACGTTCTTGTTTTAATATATTAATTACAAATATAACTAGAAATTATTTTGATTGTGAGAGGCTCCCTTGTGGGACGCCTATGTACAATGACGACGGAAATATAAAAATGTGAAAACAATACCCACCTGTGAAAAGACAAATTCGGGTAATTTGAGCTTATTTTTCCACACACTTGACACTGTCGTACCATACTGAATTCGCAGATTCAACAGTACGTTAAACAAAAACAAAAACCACCGAAAAACACTGAAAAGTTCACTTTCGTCTTGATTCCGACTTCAAACACACCGCAAGCTAAACGTAGTACGCTATAACGGACCAAGGGCCGTCGCGAGGGGTGGTGGGACGGACGGCTCATTTCATTCTGGAAGACTAGCAGCGACGTTGCCAATAGTTCTAGACGTTTCAGCACATTAAACAGTAAACATGTCCTTTAATAGTAACGCATATATCCTCTGGTTAATAACATATTATTACGCATGCCTCTTTAAAAATAAACTATTAATTTAATTAAGAAATTGAGATTTATTGATATCCGGTAAAGGTTTTAAAGTCACCTTTTCTGTAAATCAAACTGAGTAGATAGGCGCAAATTTGAGATGTGGCAATGTCGCCTTCTCTATCTCAGTTGGTTTTTACAGTACGTAGTCAACCTCCGATTGTTTGATCGGGTTAAAATGTCTCATGTGATATCTGTTCTTACTAAATCTATGATTATAATATTCCTAGCCGTTTTCTAAACGCGTAGAAAATACCGCATGATCGAGAAAATACGGCGTTCAGTTGGCTTGGAAATGATGATCGATGCCATTCCCCATATAATTTTACATAGGGTGCGTCTCAAAAGTGGCTCACCCCCTATAACTTTTTTATTTTTTTCAGATAAAAAAAACTAGTATTTGGTATGTTAGGTTAGGTTATATGTCATAAATTAGAATTGATTGACGTATTCAATTGTTTTTAATCACTTCCTGTTTCACCGGAAATGACTATAAGTTTTGATTTTTAAATGGCACCCTCGGTGTTTTTTTACTTTTTTCAATAAAAAATGACGCTCTAAATAGAATGACGTATCATGTGTCAAATTTTGACATTCTTGCTTAAAAAATCGTATTTTAAATTTCAATCTAGAGTGCCATGGATATGTTAAAAACACTAATTTTTAATCAAGGAGCCTTGGAAAAATAGATTTAATCGTCGATTTAATGTTTTAGTGTCTTGTCCTGGCCAGTTAAAATATGCCAAATCGTATTTTTAATCATATCTCAATTTTTTCAAATGGAACGAGGGTAGCTCATTAGCATATTTGGAAAAAAAAATTTTTACGAATAATTTGATACCACACGCTTGTAGGTCGAGTTTGTGGTATCAAATTATTGTATAGGTCGAGTGTTTTACGAATAATTTGATACCACACACGAGTCAAATTGTCGTTATGAAGCGCATGTTACAATTTCAAATAAACCATATGCGAAAATGCCAAAAGTTGACATATGATATGTCATTCTATTCAGACTGTCATTTTCCATTGAATGAAGTAAAAAAAATACCGAGGATGTCATTTAAAAATCAAAAGTTATAGTCCTTTTCGGTGAAACAGGAAGTGACCAAAAACAATAATTGAACACGTCAATGAATCCTAATTTACATCATGTACTCACATACCATATCTCGTTTTTTTATCAGAAAAAAATAAAAAAGTTATAAGGGTGAGCCACTTTTGAGACGCACCCGGTATAAAATAACAGCGTTCGTCATTTCATAGCCATCGCTGGCGCCGTTTTATTCGATCATATTGTAATTTGTATTTCTTAAAACTTTTCAGACGTCACCCGTATTTTAGAAATTATCGACGCCTTGGAAAGTTCTTCGCGGTGTTGCCATACGTTGCACTTTCGTCGGTCGGTTTTTAACGTTGTTTAGATTGATTTATGATTTTTTTGTTAATCTTTCTATGCCATAATAATTTCAAGGTTTCTCCAAGTTATTAGATAAAATATTTAATAGAAAGCATGTCGTATAATGTTATCGAAAACGAAATTCGTCAACATCGCATTGAATAATTTAATGAATTGTAATAAATTCAGTGTTCCTCTGTTCGCTGCTTACGTTTTTTTTTCGGTAGAAGATAACCTTTGTATTAATTACTTGAAATAAAATCTTGTAAAAAGTAGAAGTAGTTTCTGTTTCATCTCAATTATTGTATTAATTTAGCTGAAAGGCTATAACCGCGTGGAATAGTTTTTTTACACAAAATTTAGGCGTTGGCTTGTTTCATCAAAGAAATATCGAAGGTAGCTAATAAATAGATGTTTTCTATTTTTTTTTAAATTTAATTTGAAATTTTAGAATTATTGAAACACCTTTCATTCTCACTTTAAAGAATCTGGTCACAGAAATTTTATTTAGAAATATTTTTTTTTGAGAATTGTTTATACAGATTAGTATCATTCACTTAATTTTGTTGGAAGTCCAATAATGTTTTTATGTGTTTCATAGCTAATATTAAATCTAATAAAATTGTATTATTTCAAAAAAATTAAAAGTAATCGATATTTTAGATACTAAATTAAAGGTATGTAATATACCTTTATTTTAATAACCCTTAACCTTTGAAACATCGATACAATCAAAATATTTTTTATAGATAGATGTTTTACGTAAATAACTCATATAATTTTAATATAATCATCTGCCAGATAAACAAGTTTTATATTAATTATTATTAAAATTAGAAGGACAAAATATTATTTTATTTATATTTTTTAGGCGCTTACGTAGACTTAAAATCAGTTAAGGCTCTGGTTAAGATGTCTTCTTCAGAACTGAAAAGCGATGCTATATTCGAATTTATTATTGAAAAAGTCAAAGAAGATCCCAACAAAGCGAAATCCATAGGTGGCGTATTTTTGTATAAAATTACAAAAGATGGGAAAGAAGCAAAACAGTGGAGTAAGTATCTAAAGTTTTTTGAGATAATAGGTATATTTTTATTCCACTAAAATACGATCTGCTTAAAAAAGAAATACAGAAAGTTGAGAATTAATGTATTTTTAGGGGTAATTAACTATTATATTATTTCGTATTTTGATATTGTTTTGGAAACACTCGGTTTTCTTTTTAGTTTATTTTCCTTCAAAAATTAGATAACTTTGAATAAAGTTGTTAATGCCTAAATACAGTAGTTACCGAAAAATTTAACAATTTCTTAGTAATAAAATGCTGCTAAAAATATTTAGATTTATTAAACGAGAAGTAGCTATTAAAATCATAAAATAATTAACTAGAAAGAAGTGTCAACTCTGTGTTAAATCGTGGAAACACGATACGCCACCGAAAGCCTTCGTTGTCGACTGGAGAACTAATTTCCCAATTGACAGGTTGACATGATAAGGACATGATGGCTTAATTTTCACTTCCGTTTCCGGTTATTCAATGGCGGGCCCTCTTTCAATTCAAATGTATTTTGTATTTTTTCTTTTCATAAATAAAACCAAAAAATAATTTATTCACATATATTTATTTGAAATATGGAACAACGTGACTAAATAAATATAAAAATATAGAGGATTGTATTGTTTCAATACCAATTAGTTAATTATATGTACTTTTAACGTAAATTAGTTAAGGTATAAGCATGACTTACAGTAATTTGTAAATAAACACACGTATTCGCAGACTTCAAGGACAGAAAACGGACACAGGGACATGAAAACGGGAGCCTTATAGAAAAACCTGAAAACAGAAAAACATTTTTTTTATACTAAAATTAACAATGTAAAAATATCAATATAAATATATAGGTGTAAAATATAAATATACTGTTTAAAAAAAACGTCCATTATTCCCAAAGAGACCGGCTTATAAATCAAAAAGAAGCAAAAAGAGACTTTTAGTCGGATAATATAATCAGATTATCAGTCCGATTTATTGCATTATTGACAATAAATCGCACATATTGGAGATAACTAATGTTGGCTATAGTTAAAAATGATCTTACCTTGCTGTAAATTGTTTCCATTTTCAAAAAAATCGCCGATCAAAGAGATTATAACACCATTTTCTTGCATCTAAAAAATGTAAAAACAGTGTTTATTTACTACCCATTTTTCATATACATGGGACATACCTACTACTGCAGAAACGTCATTTTCTCCAGGATTCTTCATGTAATATATATTTTATATACTTTATTACCTTTATAATTATAAATTTCAGCCGAAATATTAAATTGAACTTCCAAAACGAAACTAAACGGAATGAATTAAAATGGCGTCGAATATTTTCGAATTTGTTCTAGAACAAATCTGAAGTTGTCTCTGAAACTAAAATCTGTCAATTCTAAACTGTGAAGTTAGACAATAGTTAGACAAAAACAATGCTGTCCTTGTCTAGGCGGCCATACTTGTCGTGAGGAGAATGACAGGAATGACTGTTTCCAATTTTCCTATTTCACTGTCACCCCCCTGATTAAAATAAGCAACTACCTCCAGTTATAACATTTTTAACACCAGTTGTCATGGCTGCAGTTATAATTTAATAGGGAAGCCATAGGGAAACTAGCATTTTAGTATAATAGAAAAATGTTAAGTCGAAAAGCATTTTATATTTTTGTAATTAACTTTTCTTTGACCAATCTAATATATTTTTTTATTGAAATAAAATTAAAAAAAAAACATTTTATTTAGGCATAAAGAACTATAATATAGTCGAAGAAAATAGGACTTCAAATACGAAGTTTCGGTAAAAACTTGTATTTTTGATATAAGTTACTTTGAAAGATCGAAAAACGAACTGTGAAAGATTTATTAAAATTCACCCCCGAGAAGGGTTGAAATAAATAAAGTTATTTTTTCAAAATTTCGGAGAAACGGTAAAGATTAGTAAAAATAGTTCAAATAAAAGTTGTAGAGCGTCAAATACATAAAAATGATCTCTATACTTTTTACTCAAATCAAAATTAACGAGATAGGATGGCTAGAAGCTAGGGGATCATAGAAAAAAATCACAAGTTGCTAAAAAATTCATATATTTAAATTTTGTTTTCAATTTGCTCGGTAAATTATAAATTCTAACTCACATTATTTTAAATTCACCCCGAGAGGGGGGCGAAAAATATAAATAAAGTGAATTTTTACAAATTTCAGAGAAACGGTAAGGGCTTTGAACAAATATTTCAATAAAAGCTGTGCCCTAGCTTCTAGTCACCCTATCTCAGACAATTTTGATTTGAGCAAAAAAGTATAGAGACCATTTTTTATGTGAAATCTGACGCTCTACAATTATTTATTTGATCTTTTTTTTCTAATCCTTACCGTGTGACCGAAATTTCAAAAAAAAACTTTATTTATTTATTTCATCCCTTCTCGGGGGTGAATTTTTAAAAAAATCTTTCACAATTCGTTTTTAGATCTTTTAAAGTAACTTATATCAAAAATTCAAGTTTTTACCAAAACTTCGTATTTGAAGGCCTATTTTCTTGGACTACCGGGTGCGTCTCGAAATTGGCTCACCCCTATAACTTTTTTATTTTTTCAGATAAAAAAACGAGATTTGGTATGTTAGTATATGACATAAATTTGGATTGATTGACATATTCAATTGTTTTCGGTCACTTCCGGTTTCACTGGAAATGAATACATCTTTTGATTTTTTAAATGGCACCATTGATATTTTTTTACTTTATTCTATAGAAAATGACTCTGAATATAACGACATATCATATGTCAACTTTTGAAATTTTTGCATATGGTTTATTTGAAATTATAACATGCGGTTCATAAAGACAATTTGACTTGAAATACCAAGTGTGTGGTATCAAATTATTCATAAAAAATGCTTTTTCCAAATATGCTAATGAGCCACCCTCGTTCCATTTGAAAAAATTGAGATATGATTAAAAATACGATATGGGCATCTTTTAACCGGCCAGGACAAGACACTAAAAACATTAGACAATCAAATTTACTTTTCCATGGCTCCTTGATTAAAAATTATAATTTTTTATGTTTTTGAGTGAATATGTCAAAAGTTGACATATGATAAGTCATTCGATTCAGAAAGTCATTTTCTATTGAATAAAGTAAAAAAATACGGAAGGTGCCATTTAAAAATCAAAAGTTGTAGTTTGTAGTCATTTCCGGTGAAACAGGAAGTGACCGAAAACAATATAATAATTTATATCATTTACTAACATACCAAATCTCGTTTTTTTATCTGAAAAAATAAAAGTTATAAGGGTGAGCCACTTTTGAGACGCACCCGGTATACAAGGTGCCATTTATTTTCTACGGTAAATAAATAAACTACTCAGAAAAATGGGTGTATCCATTCAAAAAGTTGATTTTTTAGTGTTCTAAACGGATTTTTTTATGGACACCCTGTGTTACATTTAAAAAATTATTGTAGAAATTTAATTGAGTAAACTATTTTTTCTAAAAGAACAGCAGCATAAATTTATGGAAAATATGCATCAATGCTGAAAAATATTTTATTTTTGGCTTTGCAATAATTTTTTACATAAAATTGAAATTATATAAAAAAAAGGCTAAACGGAGGTATATATAATCTGTCTGTCTAATTAGAGGATCCTTGACAGTGACAGTTGTGTGAGTTGTGCAAAAATGCATAAAGCTTGATTTTCATGCGTCCGTTGTCCGACCATACGATATTAATTTTATTGGTTGAATTTAAAGATTTCGATTGGTTAGAAACGGTTAACCAATCGAAGTCTTTAAATTCAACCTATAAAATTAATATCGTATCGTCGGACAACGGATGCATGAAAATCAACCTTAAGGAGTTCTATTTGAAATAAACAAATTGGTAGCCACTTGCGGTTAAATCAGAAGGGCCAAAAAGTGAAAAATAAATACAAAGTACACCTGGAACTTATCTTGAAGTATTCGAAGTTTTATCTAAATTAAATTCTAAAATCCTTTGAATGGAGGAGTTGTCTGAAAAACCTTGTATGTGTCACATAATTGTAACTCTAATAATATACATAAATCTAATTTTTATTGTTGTCGATCCAATAATATATAATGTGTTTTTTTTTTAATTGGATTAGGATCCAAAGAAATCAACAGAAGTCCTTTATTTTAAATTTGTCGACGTTTCGCAAAATTTATTTGCATTTTCAGGACACTACAAAGTTAAGAGAGCAAAATACAATTGTATATGTGTGGAATTCCACTGATATGTGTTTTAAGTTGTTTGTTAACTTATACTTAACTTTGTAGTGTCCTGAAGATCGAAACGTCGACAAATTTAAAACACGGACAAGGACTTCTGTTGATTTCTTTCGATCCCAATCCAGTTAAAAAAAACACATTATCTAATAATAAAATTTGTTTAGCAATGGATCTTAAAAACGCCAAAGTTTACGAAGGGGCACCTGAAGGAAAACCCAGCACTACATTGACAGTTTCAGACGAAGACTTCTTGTTGTTGGCCGAAGGCAAATTACAACCCCAACAGGCATTTATGAAGGGTAAATTGAAAATCACTGGAAATATTATGTTGGCCCAGAAACTAGCTCCTCTTTTAAGGACTACTGCGAAACTTTAATTATTGTTAATCTATAGCCACGGTGACTGGTTTTTATTTTGTTATATTTTAAGGTGGATTTAATAGATATATATTTTAAATAAAAAAAAACAAAAATATCCTTAAGTGTTTTAATTTAAGCCTTAAAAAATAGTTATAAATATTAGAGTATCACAGTTCATTTTTAAGTATATCTGGTTTATGTGGTAGGCATATATTTGAATTCTCAGTACAATATTTTTCATCTAAATTCTCTCCATTTTGATAATGTTTTATAATATCTTCTTCATATTCTTCCATAACAGATTCACACTGAAAATAAGTATATGATAAATTTTATATTTAGCAAATTTAAATTACCACACATCCGAATTAATAAATAGATACCTATTTAATTTTACTCTGTATACCGGTGCATCTCAAAAGTGGCTCACCCCTATAACTTTTATTTTTTTAGATACCAAAACGAGATTTGGTAAGTTGGAATATGGCATAAATTAAGATTGATTGACCTACTCAATTGTTTTTGGTCACTTCCTGTTTTACTGGAAATAACTACAACTTTTGGATTTTTGGTAGGGATACCCTCGGTATATTTTTACTTTATTCGATAGAAAATGACACTCTAAATAGAATAACATGTCATATGTCAACTTTTGACATTTTCGCTTAAAAACAAATTGTATTTTAAATTTCAATCTAGAGTGTCATGGCTGCGTTAAAAATACTAATTTTTAATCAAGGAGACTTGAAAAAATAGATTTGATTATCTAATGTTTTTCGTGTCTTGTCCTGGCCGGTTAAAAGATGCCCAAATCGTATTTTTAATCATATCTCATTTTTTCAAATGGAAGAAGGGTGGCTCATTAGCATATTTGGAAAAAGCATGGTATTTAGAGTTAAATTGTTGGTATGAACCGCATGTTACAATTTCAAATAAACCATATACGAAAATGTCAAAAGTTGACATATGACATCTCATGCTATTCAAAGTGTCCTTTTCTATCGAATAAAGTAAAAAAATACCGAGGGTTTCATTTAAAAATCAAGTTGTAGTCATTTCCGGTGAAACAGGAAGTAACCAAAAACAATTGAATACGTCAATCAAGAGTCATTTTCTATAGAATAAAGTAAAAAAATGCAATGGTGCCATTTAAAAAATCAAAAGATGTATTCATTTCCAGTGAAACCGGAAGTGACCGAAAACAATTGAATATGTCAATCAATCCTAATTTATGTCATATATTAAAATACCAAATCTCGTTTTATTATCTGAAAAAATAAAAAAGTTATAGGGGGTGGGCCATTTTTGAGACGCACCTGGTATATATTATGTACTACAAGTCAATGATTAAATCTGCGACTTTTTACTAACGTTTTTTCGAGCGTGCAAATTTTCAGAAATAAAGGTTTAGTAAATAGGTATCTGAATTTTGTTACCCATCCTCTGACAGCTAAATTTAAAAATTAATTTTAATTTTTATACTTTGAAAGAAAACTGAGACCATTATTTTCTATAAATATACAGTATGTCCTCGGATTGTCTTTACAAGAGAAAAAACTTTTTTATTATTGACATTTTGAGAAAAATGCATTCTTCATAAAAAAATTTGCTTGTTATAAAATTGTTAATCCCATTTATAATTTCCATACCGTTTTAGAAAAAATTAATAAAAGCATGAAAATAGTTGTTTTTTCCTAAAAATCAAAACGCGTTTCTACGGTAATATAATTTCGATTTCATTCTTTGAGAGATTGTTATGGATAGAATTTTAATTAACGTCATATTTTTTGCTGTTCTAAAATGTCAAAGAAACACAAAATTTATTTAGTTCAATACTACTGAAAGGGTGATAATAGTTATCAGAAAATGTGATACTTTTACAACAGCAAAAAATATGACGTTAATCAAAATAATTAATCATCATTATCAACCAGCCACTAAAGTCCACTGCTGGATGTAGGCCTCCCTTGTTTGCTTCCAAAACTCCCTATCTTGAGCTATTTGCATCCAGTTACTGTGGATATGCCTTCGTCCATCAGTCATCATTTAGCCTTGCAACGTGCCCTGCCCAATTCCATTTCAAAGTAGTTATTTTCTCTATGGCATCCATGACTTTTGTTCTGTCTCCTGTACTTCGATATTCGGTACTTTGTCTCTCGAGATAGCCCCAACATTGATGGGGAGTACACATTGATTGAATACCTTTCTCTTGAAACATATGGGAAGTAATCAAAATTAATAATAATCATATATCAAAGAATGATATGGAAATTATATTACCATAGAAACGCTCTTTGATTTTTAGGAATTCAGTTCTATGTTTTTTTTTAATTTTCTCTGAAAAAGAATGGACACTTGGAAAAGTATAAACAGCAAAATAAAACACGAAATCACCAGGATACACCAAAACACATTTACTTTTACACTGACACAGTAACTACAGTGTAAATAGAATAAAGTAACTACAGTGTAAAAGTAAAAGTGTTTTGGTGTATTGTGGTGATTTAGTGTTTTATTTTGCTGTGTGGTTCCAACACCAAAGGTTCCAACGTTCCAATCCCCAACTGTAATTTATGAACATTTTAGAACATGCAAATTTTTTTATGGAGAATGCATTTTTCTCAAAATGTCAATAATAAAAAAAAATTTCTCTTGTATAACCAATCCGGGGACATACTGTATATTTTAAGAGGCACGGTATTTTTTTTTAAATTTACAAGTTTAAATTTACATATACCACATTTACATGTCTTTATGATATTGTGTAGGCATGAAACTTATATTGTACAATAGGATTGAAAAAAAAAAGCAGCATTAGCAATGGCTATGAAATGAATATCGCTGTCGTTATATATATAAAATTATATAGGAAATGTCATCGATATCCATTTCCAAGCCAACTGGACGTGGTTTTTTTCCCTCATACGGTATTATGAAATACATTTCTAACAAATACCATATGATAAAATAGAATCGCTTCCAGTTGGTTTGGAAATGAACATCGGTGACTTACTCTATATATACTGTATAACTATAACCACCTATAAAATAATCAATGAATAATTGTAACTTGTATAAAGCCACTTACATAATACTTCAAGCTTTTATTTAGATCTTCATCTTGAACAAAATCTATATCATCCATATGCGGATTCATCTTTCCATCCACCACCATTTTCAATATTGTCAATGTTCCATTTGACTTCCATATACCCCTTGCATAGTCTTCCATTTTATTGCAAATCGAATCTATTAATTCTGATAAATATATTTCAGATTGAGACAGAGGTATAGTTTTAGGAGCGTTGTAATTTCCTTGAGGATCTAATCGATGTCCCCCTATCTTTACCGTTTGTGATTTATCAGTCGATTTCACAGCTAAAGTAAGTTCTTTTATGCTGGCACTACATACTAAAAGATACATACAACATTTTAATATGGTGTTAGGTATATTTTCTAGTTCTATTTCGTGTTTTTGCAATATTTTAGTTTTATGAATAAAAAATATAGGACAAAGCTAAAATCACCTATAGATAAATTCCACAATGAAATATTTATTTAAGCATATTTTCTATGAAATACTAAACGTATTTTTAGAAACAGCTGGAAGTATTGTTTAGAAGCAGCAAGCATCTACAATTATTATCTAAAATATATGAGTAACAAGAGTAATAATTAAACAAAAAAAAAACGAATTACCAATTCTTTATTATCAGTGGGACTGATATATGAATTTTCAAAATTGTCCAACAAAAATAAGAATAGAAAAGAATAAAAAATCTACTTACCTAAACAACGAACTTCCTTATTGTCTAGGTTTGCATCTTGTACGACTGTTTGACAATTTACATAAACATATATTAAAGCAGCAGAAATAAGTCCAAGTTTTACAATCATCTTCTAGTTTTTACGGAACACAAGTACATTGACAAAGTCGAAGATTCGCTTTAATAAAAGTTTTTAAATAAAATTGGTTTTTACTATAAAACGTCATTTTTCTTATTGACACGTAGTATTGTTTTCATTGGCCAATTTTTCAATTAAGTTGTCAATAAGGTTAGGATAGGACAGATAGGACGCATGCTAGGATCAAGATAGGATGATAGGATAGGATAGGCTGGAATAAGGATTAAATTGTATCTTGTATGGGTATATTCTTTACATACCCAATTTAAATTAGGTATTTTTAAAAAATTAAAAAACATTTTGTTAGTGTTAATCTAATGAGAGAGGAGACATTTTAATAACTGTACAGCTCTGCTGTACAGCTAACAACTCCTTGGCTTTTTAAACCTCTGTAAAATAGACACCTAAATCAAAATTCATTTTTTATTTACAATTAAGTGTATTGGATGTGATAAGAATTTAAAAAATGCACATATAATTTACTATTATTTTAGTAATAATAAGTCGTCTCTATATTCAACAAAAAATATACGTTGTCTAAACAAAGGTCTAAATATACAGATGAATTTAGCTAGTGAATATTTCTCGTTGATTCAACCATTAAAAAAGCAAATGCCTAGATATACGTATAGGTACCAATTACAGTACTTCCAAAAGGCATAACTATAAACCATTTATAGTTTAGTTCATAAAATAATTAACTAGAAAGAAGTGTCAACTCTGTGTTAAATCGTGGAAACACGATACGCCACCGAAAGCCTTCGTTGTCGTCTGGAGAACTAATTTTCCAATTGACAGGTTGACATGATAAGGACATGATCAGGGGGGTGACAGTGAAATAGGAAAATTGGAAACAGTTATTAGTGTCATTCCTGTCATTCTCCTCACGACAAGTATGGCCGCCTAGACAAGGACAGCATTGTTTTTGTCTAACTATTGTCTAACTTCACAGTTTAGAATTGACAGATTTCAGTTTCAGAGACAACTTCAGATTTGTTCTAGAACAAATTCGAAAATATTCGACGCCATTAAAATTCATATTGATTGACACAAGCGCCTTCTGCGGCAACAAGAGAAATGTATAGAACAGTCGTAATTTACGGACGAGTTCATTTGTGAGGGTAGTCTCCGTTCAATGTCAGAATTTTATTTAAAGTAAAATAACTTTCAAATGGTCTATTACTCAAATATGAATAAAGTGTTATTTTCTAATTCTCAGTTATTTAGAAACATAATATTTATGCGGATAGGATATGTGAAATTTGAATCAATTTCTACCTAGACGGATCGTTCCAGTATAATGGACTCGTCCAAACAAGCTTCCAAGATTTTCAAGCAGCCAGTCGCCAATCGGTCATCGTCGTAGGAGGTTGTCGACAGAATGTGTCAGAATTTTTCTTTGATGAAATCGAGTGTAGTATCACTATTTCCAGTAAATAACTTAAAATTCTGTTTAAAGCGTTTAGAAGTGTTTGTGCACAAACTGTTTTCCAATATTTCGATCATAAAAGAGGCTTCTTTAAGGTGAGTGACATATTTTTTTTATTCTTTCCCACATTTATCACTTTTTTCGTAGTTCTAATTTGGTAATATCATACGTTAAAGTGCTTCTACCGAATATTTATCGTAATAATTCATTTCGATTAAAGAGCTTCCTCCACCTTGTGGTGTTGCTTGATCCAAAATTAGCACTACTTTTCCCAAAGTGGGAGGCGAGGGCCACATTTAAATGAAAATATTATTATATATATAGAGTAAACTTATTATTAAAACCAAATTTGTTGTATTCCTGTTTTGTTATTGCTGATGTTGCGGCACTTGACCTGGCAACCGCGTAAAGCGTGTTCCTAAAGATAACAAAAGCATTTTCATAAATTTATTTCTAATTCAATTTTGATTTTCTGTTTCATCGAATATCTTTTAAATGTAGAATTTTCTTAGTTTGATAAAATTTGTCTCGGGGTTATAATAATTTAATGTAACATTTTGTATTTGTTTACTGATGACAAAGCTGTCTGACAAGCGAATATCGCCTGTAACGACTCCATGTAGAAGCAAGCATATGGCAACATCGGACGTTACGTCCACTTCCCTGCCCTTCCACTTTTATATCGATCTCAGAACCCACCAATAGTGAGCTCGTTGTTAGCTCGCGGGAGCGAATTTTTCTTTTCGGCGTTGCCGTATTTGTCGCTTTCACACTTCTTTCACAAAACGAACTGGCCGTGAATATATGTTCTGTTTCACTTTAAAATATCTGACAACGTTGTTGAATGAATTGGAGAACAGTCATGTTGCCAGTTCTACACATACTTGTTCAAAGAGTTAAATCCCGAATCTCCATTTAGCCGACCTTAAATTTTAGTCACCAAGTGAAATGAATTCACGTTCGTGTTGCGTATTTCTAAAAAACTTTCTTCTTATTGGAAAACCTTCGAGATGTATATATCACTTAACGGGCACATAGCAAATGTGTTTCGAATATTGTGATGGTTTTGTGTGAAGAAAATGATATTTATCGTAAAATACCTATATTTTGCAAATTGCTTCATTTAAAAACGTTTGTACCTACCTACTCCCAAAGATAATAAGAGCGTGATTTTTTTATCTGGTTATCTTAACTTCTTTATTAAAAGGGTAAATAGATTTTTATGTATACTTATGTGGTTGATGTAGCTAATTATATTTAATTTCTAAATGTACTTTTTTTTGTTAATCATGAGAATCGACATTCTGTTATAGTAGGTACAAAGTAATATATTTTTTGATAATTATTGTAGCGATGCTACTGTCATATTATGAGCATAGAGCATTGTATTTATTTGGCTTTGAAATTGCTGCATTTTTATGTTGCGCAATCGAAAATATTTTTACTCTTATTGCCAATAATGTTCAAGGTGCGCACGCAATACAGCTAGATAGTTTATAAATAAATTTTGTTTTCGACTTTTATGTCGAGTTTCTGTTGTATAACGTTTAAAACGTAAATAGCATAGAAATTTATAAAACTCACCGGTTCTTTCATCCAACAATGAAATAGATGTTCGAACATTATGCTTTATATAAAAACATAACGAACGACATAAGCACAGACCATGTTTCATTCGTTTTTACAGCTACCGGTTTTGTTTATGCTAGAAAATAAATAAGTGGGCGTGTCGTTCCCGATCAGCTGAATTCAGATATCTAGCTCGAACATGGCGTTCCAAAAGCGTTTTGCTTTTCTGTCGACAATTTTAAAAGGTACAATTAGCTGACTGTCATGACGCATTACCACAAAAAGAAGTATTGGTGACAAAACAGGCCCAATCGGCAACAGACGACTTGATTCATGATGAAGAAACTCAAAGTGAGTGTACTTTTTAAAAAGTGATCATAATGATTTGTTTACCCTTTTGCATCATTTTATTAAACATAAACATTATGCAACGCGAAATCTCAACTAATAATGTCTTAACTTGATTGTAAAATGTCATATGGTTGTGGTTATAGGTATTTAGTGTTGGTGTATTTTTATTGATATTTTCTATAAAAATACATATAAATATCTAATTACATTTTAGCCTTGTTTATAAGGATTTTAGTAATGTTATACGAGACTACAAGGGTTAAATAAGTCACGTAACTTACTACTACAACAAAAAGAATGTAATTTCTTCTTTATATTTTTAGTTGGAATGCCGATTTGTATTCATTAAATTTCTAATACTTAATAAGCATCATAACACGATTTTAAGTATATAAAACAAATAGGTATTTTACCTATTATACTGATAATTTTTTAAAAACTTAGAATAGTATATTAATATACAGTGTGGTCCTTAATGACATGCTAATATTTAAGGAGGTGATTCTTGGACCTATTTAAAAAAAACTTCAACATTCAAACTTTTGAGATACAGGATGGCAAATAAAATTTTCTAAAAATTGTTTTTTTTCCTTAATAACTCTGAGGTTATTATAATTATCTTTATGAAATTTCATACACGCCTTCTATGCATGATAGGTAACTTTGGCGTACAAAATTTTTTTGTTGTATCTCTTAATTTCCATCCAGCCGATGCAGAAACGATTTCCACAGTTAACCTAACAGTCACCGCATCAGATTTTTAGCGATTTGACCCCGAAAATTATTTTTATTTTTTAAGCAAAAACTATGCGTCCGACGAAAAAATCAGATGAATATCGTTTAAAAATGAATGAAAATTTTGAAAATAATTTTTATTCTAAGAGAAGTCAAAACCCGTGTGGACGTGTCTGGTTGAAATTAATAAAATTGTTTGTACATCAAAATAGGCATTTTGATATACAGAAAGAAAACGTGTAGCAGGTTTCATAAAGATGTTTATAATAACATCGGAGTTATTATGAAAAAAAGTTTTTTTTTTTGAAAAATTTACCACCCTGTATCTCGAAAGTTAAGGCGTTTAGACAGACATTAATATGAAGTTTTTTTTCTTAGAATGGGTTCACAAATCGCCCCTTTAAATATTGACATGTCATTAAGGAACATCCTGTAATTAATCAACAGCAAATAATAATTTTATTAATTTAATTAAAATATGGCGTTGAAACCAATGGGTTTCTGATAAAGAAGTTAGCTCAATACAGTTGAAAATTAACTTGAGGAAAACTAACTCTAGGCGAATGAAAGTAATGTTAATATAAATAATAAATAAAATTAAGTAGTTGGAATGTTGGAAAGTGGACTATTAATATGTTGATCTTTAGCATTACCAACAAACGGCGATTTTTAAAATTCTGTATTGTTCACATTATTTACTCTCTACCGATAGGTACTTGTACCGATTGGTTTCTTGTTTAATTATTTTTGAAACGAAATTCTTAATTACTTACCGAAAAAAAATCATCTTTGGTTTATTCTATTCATCTTTTGTTACATTCAACTTTGAGTGGATTTTTAAACTGATTTTGGAGGGATCTTTGGAATGATAAATAGATTTTCTTGGATATGCAAATTTATGCATATACGTTATGCAATGTAAATAGCCACTAAGAAGTTTCTGTAGCTTCATGAAGCAGTTTCAAAAAAGGGCGCAAATGAAAATAAAACTCAGTACTTTCAGTAGTAAGAATTACAGTAGGAAATTACTATAAAATTATTTACTTTCAAATGTATAATATTGAAGGAGGATCTTATTAAATTTGCATAGCTGTCAAGTTTGACTAATAGAAATAACCTAACAACCTCAAATTAATGGTGACTGTTCTAGGGGTACCGAAATGCCTTTCACGTATAATATAATGTTATGAAATCTTGGATCATCATCCAATAACAAATCACATTTCTAACTTGATCATGGTGATGATACACTTAGGACAAAGGATAACTATTTTTGACGAACCTCATATTCTGTGACTTCCAAATGAATGAACTAAAAAGGCACGTACCTGTGTGCCTATACTGTCATAATGGGTCAATACACCGCAGTACAAAAAATATTAATTCAAAAAAAGCATTCTGTTTATTTTTGTGCGTATATTTGCAAATAATCAACGTGTTTTGTTAGACAATTAGGCAACTAGGATTGACTCATCACCTTAAATGAGAGAATTGATATACACAAGGTTATAACAGAAGTCGTACAATACGTATGATCGAAAAAAAAACGGCGTCAGCGATGGCTGTGAGATGAAGATCGCTGTCATTTTATATGTAAATTTATATGGGAATTTTAATCGATCGTCATTTCCCAGCCAACTGGGCGCCGTTTTTTTATCATACGGTATAATATGATTACAATTTACAATGCTGTATCTCTTGAACATAAAATACATTATTTTTGATTGACGGAAAAATCTTTTTTTTCTGATATGTTATAATAAAAAGATCGGCACCCAGTGCATCCAAATCTGCCAACTGTCAATGAAATCACAATTCAAATATTAATAATATTAATATTCAGTTATTACAGAAAATTGTCTTCTCTATTGTAGGTAATTTTATAACATTAAAATATTATTGAATAATATGAAATTCATTAGTAAATGCGTTAATTTTTTTAGGCAAATAGGTACACAGAGATTATTACGTTAGTTTATTAACATTGATACTGCCATAATATTGTCATCTGATGAGTTATTAATATCAGTAATGTTATTACTATCAGTGACAGTAAACACTTTCAGATGTGGCTGGTTCCTCGGGAAAATATTTAATTTAATATATAGAAATTATCGGATTTATATGAACCTATAAATATGGTTGTTGGGTCTTTAGGTTCTATTTCTTTTAGTTAAAACAAATTAATTATAAATATGTTAAATATCATGATATATATCTTGATATATCACAGAATATATACCGGGTGCGTCTCAAAAGTGGCTCACCCCTATAACTATTTTGTTTTTTTTTTCAGATAAAAAGAAAGAGATTTGGTATGTTATTATATGACATAAATTAGGACTGATTGACGTATTCAATTGTTTTCGGTCACTTCTTGATTCATCGGAAATGACTACAACTTTATATTTTAAATGGTAGTCTTGGTATATTTTTGAGACTTTATTCAATAGAAAATGACACTCTGAATAGTATGACATATCAACTTTGTTGATATCAACATATCAACATGTCAACTTTTGACATTTTCGCTTAAGAAAAATCATCAATTTAAATTTCAATCTAGAGTGCCATGATTAAAAATTAGTGTTTTTATTTTTAACACAGCCAAAAACACTAATTTTTAATCAAGGAGCCTTCGTCTAATGTTTTTCGTGTTTTGTTCTGGCTGGTTTAAAGATGCCCAAATCATATTTTTAATCACAACTCAATTTTTTCAAATGGAACGAGTGTGGCTCATTAGCAAATTTGGAAAAGGCATTTTTTTATAAATAATTTGGTACCACACACTTAGTATTTCGAGTCAAATTATCGTTATGAACCATAAGCGAAAATGTCAAAAGTTGACATATGATATTATGTCATTCCATTCAGAGTGGCATTTTCTATCAAATAAAGTAAAAAATACAGAGGGTGCCATTTAAAAATCAAAAGTTGTAGTTATTTCCGGTGAAACTGGAAATTGCCAATAAGAATTGAATATGCCAATCAATCATAATTTATGTCATCTATTAACATACCAAATGTTTTTTATCTGACAAAATAAAAAAGTTATTGGGGTCAGCCACTTTTGAGACGCACCCGGTATATCCTCATTCTGTTTCAAACTGACTCAAAATAAATGTTTACATTTATAATTATTTTAATTAATCTTCGTTTATTTCAGCCAACTGAATGTGATTTGAGATGAAACGTCTTCGAGTGGATGAGCCCTCAAAAGATGGAAGTGGGCCGCCATTGTCGGGAACTTTGTATCGTCAGTCTGTAACGAATGCCACACCTGCTTTAGCCTTTCCCAGCGCGGTAAAAGTGTTGAGCGAAGGCATGCAGTCAGGACTGTATTCTCCTGCCCCCACTGTAAGTTACGGTGCCATGCCTGTTGCAGCAGCTCCCCATTCTGGAAAACCACAATCAATGCCAATTTCGGCCACAAGCCACAACGCTCTACGCACCAGCGGTTCTTCGCCCCCGAGTGCCCCCTCAATTCAGGAGCCCCCTCAGCAGCAACAATCCCCGAGCAACTTTCAACGTCTCAAAGTTGAAGACGCATTATCCTATTTGGATCTTGTAAAATACAAGTTCGGCTCGAAACCTCAAGTGTATAATGATTTTTTGGACATTATGAAAGAGTTCAAGAGCCAAAGCATCGATACTCCCGGTGTTATCCAGCGGGTCTCGAGCTTGTTCAAAGGCTTTCCGGATCTAATCGGGGGCTTTAACACCTTTCTCCCGCCAGGTTATAAAATAGAAGTTCAACGAAGCGATCAGGGTGGCTACGCGTTTTCCGTTTCGGTTAGCATGCCTAGTCCGACCGGCACCATCTCCGATCAACAAAAGTCCGCCATGATTCTGAGCGGATCGGGAAGGATCAACATGTCAGGTCTTCCGAGCCAGCCCGCTCCTCAACCTCCCCCTCCTCAACCCCTCCCTTTGACTCAGCATATACCTTCGGCTCCGCCTCAAGCACCCGCTCCCCCTCCATCAGTACTTCACCATTCTTCGTCCAATTATGGGATGACCACGTCTACTAACTATGGGCTGTCCTTATCGGCCGCCCAGGCAGCTGTCAATCATGCCCTACAAGGGCACACAGATACCCCGCAGAATCAGCCTGTGGAGTTTAATCACGCCATCAATTATGTAAATAAAATAAAGGTAAGTTATTCATTCATTGTTTATAAACTTTCAAATTGATCATAAGTTATGAGATATAGAGTGGCCCATTAGTGCGAAGAAGTCCAGTGTCGTCGTTGTTGACAAAGATACGAAAAAAAATTATATAGATGTTGAATGATTTCTTATTGTGCATATACTAAAAATATTTTACTGTATACAGGGTGTCCCCAAAAAAGTTATAAAGTTTTAATTTTTTTTTAAATTGCACCTCTACTTTTCTGTACATTATTGGATTCAACATAAAATTCTGCATATAGTACACTATTTTTGTTTGAAGCTGTATGCGGCGTTGCCATTCTATTTCTAATTTACTAAAACTTTAGTTAAAAACTTTATATTCGAGAAGTGGTTAAAAACTGGAGTAAATATAACTTCATCAATATCTAGCTATACTACACCAACACCACGTATAACAGAATAAATCCACGAAGGAAAATTTACATTATTCTACACAGAGTATCTTTTATGCCGTCGCCGTCGATAATATCGCAATATTTAAAATATTATATCTCAATTTTTTTTAAATGCTACATCCTGTATATTATTTTTCTTTTAGATCAAGATTTTAAAGACGAACATTTTTTGTGTTCTTAAATTTTTAACGGTTTTGAAGATATTTGCTGTATTATATTACATAGATATCGGATTTTCAACGTTAAAATACTAGACAATGATCATTAGGTGGCTTTGATAAAAATGTACTGTTGGAAGAGCCGTATGTAATATTGTATTGTAGGTCTGCTACCTTTGATACAGAATCGAAATATAATACCGCGAATATCTGCAAAACCACTAAAATTTTAAAATACTTTATATACAAAAAATGTTCGTTTTTTAATTCTCCATCTAAAAGGAAAATAATATACAAGGTGTTTGATACAAAAAAAAGATATAGTATTTTATATATTGCGATATTGGCGACGCCATAAAAATTACCAGATACCCATTAATAAGATATAAATGTAAATTTTCCTTCGCTGGTTTATTCTGTTATACTTGATGTTTAAGAAAATGTAGCTAAGTATAAATAAAGTTGAATTCACTCTAGTTTTTAACCACTTTTAGGATATAGTGTTTTAACCAATGTTTCAGTAAATATGAAATATAATGGCAACACCGTATAGAGCTGGAAATAAAAATAACGTACTGTATGCAGAATTTTATGCCGAATCTGTACAGAAAAATGCAGAATTCGTTTAAAAATAATCTAAAACTTTATCATACCTTTTTTGGGACACCCTGTATACAACAAAATATTTTTAGGATATGCCCCTCTATCCATCCAACATCTGCATAATTTTTTTTTTCATATCTTTGACAACGACGATATTGGACTTCCTCGCACTAATGGGCCACCCTGTATAACGTTGATTTGCTACACATTCCTCAAAAAATCAAAAGAGTTGGTGTAGCAAACCGACTATAATCTGTGCAACCAGAGGATACGTGAGTGACGGTTGTGTCAGCCATGTTAATTCACAGGCAATACCTAGTGTTCATGCATACGAATTTCGGGCGTTTTCTTCAAAAAACAATATGGCGACACGAAATTCGTAAAAAATGAAAAATGTTTTTAACCATTATCCGAATTTTGAATGTTACAATTTGAGCGATAACTTCATAAAATTAACCAAGAAATTCGTAAAAATTATTATTACGTACGAAAACATTAAATGACGTAAATTTATCGCAGAATTCTTCCGAAATCGGAAGCATGGCTTAAATCATATTTTCCGTAATTTTTTGGATGTCCTCTGTCGAAATTTTTCTTGACCCGTCGCTCAGGCTATGTATTGTTCACCTCTTCCTGGAAAATTTTTATTTTAATTCCAACTAAATCACTGAAATAAGCAATATTCTATAATTTCCGCTTTTTGATATTTCTAATAGGTTTCCGCAATAAAGGGACCAATGTCCACTTCATCATGGTGAATTAATTTCAGTTTCTATCTAAAAATGGTTATCGAAAAAAGTTATATAAAGTTAAAGATAATAATATTTAAATTTAAGTAAAACATAATTAAAAAATGTGATGTAAAACGTATGCCATTGTTAAACACAGGTAGCTGTAATTCCATAGCAATATCTTAAAGTCAGAATATTGTCAGCTATATTTATTTCGAATATCGTAAAGAAAACATACAAGTAAGTCTCAAAAGGAAAGAGGAAATTTAACCATATTGTTTCTTATTTTATTAAAAAATTCTAGACTGATTTAGTGTTGTAGTATATACGTACATATTTTCTCTTTAAATCTAAATTCAGTTAAACTACACATTGTAATATTGTATATTCAGTTAGAAATTATTTTTAAATTTGTATTATGTAGAACTAGAGTTTTATCTGTTCAAACTATAATTATGAGGTATACAAAGTATATCGATGACTATTCAGTTCACTATTATTTCATTATCAGCGTGAAAACGATAATATTTTTGTATAATATATATAATATAACTGTTTTTTATGTTTAATGTTGATTTTTAGAGTAAATAAAGATTTATTCAATTATAAACAATTTAACCTTTACAGAAATATAATAATTTAATGTGTTCTTTTTTCTTTAGAACCGATTTCAAGGACAACCCGAGAAGTACAAAAGGTTTTTAGAAATACTGCATACTTATCAAAAGGAGCAACGCACAATGAAAGAATCAAACGTTGGATCAAACGTGAAACACTTAACTGAACAAGAAGTATACAGTCAAGTGGCCAAACTATTCGAAAATCAAAGCGATCTACTTGCCGAATTTGGTCAATTCCTTCCGGACGCAACAAGTCATATTAATCAAGCTCCAGTTTCCGAACATTCGAACTCTGTCAATAAAAAATCGTTGAGCAAGCCCTATCACAGAGACCATCTGCCGGATCGTCATATTTCGCATCACAAATCAAGCCACCAGTCTGGACCAGTGAAACGGTCCCCACCTTACTCTAGCTATCATAGAGATATACCTCCGCTCAAAAAGCCAAAAATGTCCGCTTCATATAGGGACGTCAGTTTAACTGAAGCTGGCAAATATGGTACTCTCAACGATTATGCCTTTTTTGATAAGGTCAGTATTATCTCTTGTATTGTTTAAATTTGATATATCTTTATAATAATCCGTTTATTTTTCAATAATAAATAATAATATTTAGTTATTGTGAACATTATTTTATAATAACGTTTACGGTGTTTATTATTTTTTAAATTAACCTTGAGGTTTCCACTTCAATAAATTCAAACTTAGTAGTCTGAACTGTTGCTGAAAAATGTAGAATTGTGAGTTAAAAGATGTTGCATAGGACTAAATATAGTAATCGAATAATAGTTTGTTGTGTAGATTTGAAAAAGATAAGTATGTAAAAAATATGCAATTTTTTAGTTTTTATATTTTAAAAATATTTCTATTTTTATTTAACTACTAAGCTGCACATATCCGCAATTGTTTTTTTAAAAAGACTTCAATACAGTAAATTCAAAGAAAAATTTAGGCTATATCATGGATATGAAGAATTCCTTAATTGTTAAAATATTTAAGCAATTTTTCGCGACATACTTTTCTTAGTTTGGCATGTAGTGTATGTCATAAATCTCTGTTTGCGCTAAAAAAAGTATATGAGGGGCATATTCGTGAAGTTTCGACCAAAGTTTTTGTCAATTAATTGTCAAATGTAATATTCGGTCATTTTTTTTTTCAATATATACAGGGTGGTCCGAACTGTATTCTGGAAACTTCAGCAGCGTGTTCTGCAGATAAGAACAGGTAAAAAAGTTAGTATATATGTCCTAAAGTGCATTGTTTCGGAGATACAGGGTGTAAAAGTTTCATTTTTATTTCGATTTTTTCCAAATAATTTCTGAAGTAACGTCAATATTTGGATGAAAATTGGTGTCTGAGCGTTTTTTGACATGAGAAATTTGGGGATTTTGATGTCACTATGACTCCTACTTGTCGAGGGCGCCACCTACATATTTTTTAACTGGTTTGAACAGTAATAAATCATTTTTTTCGAAGAAATGTTTATGATTAATTTAAAAAAATACAAAGTTTCGAGATTTATTATTTTAGTCAAATAACTATCTACCCACCGCGTTTATTTTTTGTCAATAATGACATGTATTGACTATTTCCGTTCTAAATATCTTGAGAACGGTTACTCGTAGCGATTTTTACCAAGAGACATTTTTTACGTAGAAATTCACGAAAATGTATATTTTTTCACTCAGTAGTTTTATACGGGTACGGACGAAAAGTTATTACTCTTAGTTAATACACATGTATGTGGTGCCCCCTACAAACAGGAGTCATATTGACATCAAAATCAAATTTCTCTTGTTTAAAAACTCCCAGACACCAATTTTCATCCAAATATTGACGTTTCTTCAGACATTATTTGGAAAAAATTTAAATAAAAATGAAACTTCTAACACCCTATATCTCCGAAACTAAGCATTTTTGGCACATTCATTTATACGAACTTTTTTTTTATCTGCAGAATATGCTGCCGAAGTTTCCGGAATACAGTTTGGGCCACCCTGTATAACTATTTTTCTGCGAATGATTAAAGTGTCGGGAGACTTTTTAGTTTGCACTATTTAAATACTATTTTTTGAGAAGTTTTATTAGTATGATCGCATATAAAGCTTGGCCGATAGAGATATCGATTTTTTTTATATTTGATTTCTTTCTTTTCAGGTACGTAAGGCTTTAAAATCTCAAGAAGTCTACAACAACTTTCTGCGCTGCTTAATATTATTTAACCAAGAAATCATCTCAAAGAGTGAGCTCTTGCAAATCGTTACTCCATTTTTAGGAAAATTTCCCGAGCTTCTAAAGTGGTTTAGAGAGTTTATGGGACAAAACGAGACTGAACCTATACCCTTTAACGTAGTGCGAGCTGAACGACCACAGGGCGATCACGCCCTGGAAATTGACCTAGCCACAGCGAAACGATTGGGCGCCAGCTATTGCATCATTCCGAAAACGCAAGAGGGACAAAAATGTTCTGGAAGAACTCCACTTTGCAAGGAAGTGCTCAACGATCAGTGGGTTTCGTTTCCAACCTGGTCTGAAGACAGTACCTTTGTTAGCTCTCGAAAAACACAGTACGAAGAGTATATGTATCGATGCGAAGACGAAAGGTTTGAATTGGACGTCGTAATTGAAACGAACGCTTCGACAATCCGTGTATTAGAAGGTGTTAACAAGAAACTTAGTAGAATGGGACAGGAGGAAGCGGCCAAGTTTAAATTAGACGATTGTTTAGGTGGTCAGTCGCCCACCTTGCATCAGCGAGCTTTAAAGCGAATTTACGGCGACAAAGCTCCGGAAATAATAGAAGGATTAAAGAAAAATCCGGCCGTTGCAGTCGCGATCGTTCTCAAACGCCTTAAAGCCAAGGAGGACGAGTGGCGAGAAGCCCAAAAAGGTTTTAACAAAATATGGAGGGAGCAAAACGAAAAGTATTACTTGAAAAGTCTCGATCATCAGGGCATTAATTTTAAACAGACTGATATAAAAGCTATAAGGACTAAAAGTTTATTCAACGAGATTGAAACGATTTTTGATGAAAGGCACGAGCAAAATGAGGAGGGCTCAGAATCAGTTGTAGGTCCTCACATTGTCTTACCATACAGAGACAAAGGTATTTTAGATGATGCTGCGAATTTGTTAATTCATCATGTTAAACGTCAGACCGGCATTCAAAAGGGCGAGAAACGGAAAATCAAACAGCTTCTCCAGCAATTTTTACCAGATTTATTCTTCCATGCTAGGCAACCGGTTACTGATGATGAACGTGAAGATGAAGGTAAGTTTATATTATTGAATTACAGCCATGTGCTTAAAGACTTTAAGAATTCAAAACGCATCTAACATTTTTTTACTTCTTAACAAGTAAAATTTTAAAGTTGCTAAAGTAAGCTTGTCCCTTGATAGCTGTTCCTTCATCGATTTTTCGAAAAAAAAATGTTGCATTCAAGGGGCTCTTGTAGTTATAGTTATTATAAAAAGCAGATTTTATGCACCCGTTATCCGTATATACGAACTTCCGACGGGGTTCTGAGTGGTCGTAGTGTTTTCGCGCCACTTTTCTTCCAAAAATGTTTAACCCCCGTCCGTCAGCGGAGAAAGCTACAATAAATTTAACTTTTCGTACGATAATAAATGTTTTGACAACTGTAATGTAACCTTACTTTTTTATTGACAAATTTGGGACATTTGCTATCGGGAAATGATTATTCTGATGAATCTGATATGAATTATATTGTGAATTTTCATTGTCAAATATATTTGACCAATCGCAAGATATTCGTATTATCCGAAAAACGGAGGCATGAAAATGCAACAAAATTAAAAACTACGGAATTTTCTAAACTATCAATTATCAAGGTCTTTAAATTCAACCAATAAAATTAATATCGTATCGTCGGATATCGAATACATAAAAATACGTCTCTAAACGTTATATTAATTAGAAAAAACTCTTAATACATTACACCAAACTAAATACTAATTGCTTTTACGTCATTCTAGGAGGGACGGAGGCCTAATCAGCAGGTTATGATACCTCATAAAATATTTAGTTTTGATACGGCTGGTCATCTTTAAGGTTTATTCAGGTAGATTTCAAATCGTTATTTAGTTTTATGCCTTTAGCAGGTTGTACTGCTACTATTGAACAGTAAGGTTGAATTAAAAGGGATAAGCGTATTTACTTATGTTTCTACCTGCTGTGTCGGACCTATTGGAAGTGCAAAACTTATAAATTATTTTGTCGAAATTTAACATCCTTTTTACGAAAAAACATTTTTCGCACATATATTAATCAAAGTATCTCTTTATACTGTAATTACGTTATCAGTAAATTATTAAATAGATAGTTGAGACTGTTTTTTAATGATTTACCGGCAGTTCTAGGGGCCCCCTATTAAATCTGTATTAATTATTTGCTGATAATGCTTATGGATAGCGAAGCATACTGATCAGTGATAAAAAATGTTTTGGTGTAGTTTGGCAATTTTCTGTTTGTAATACAAAGGGTTTCTAAATGAATAAAGTATTTTAATCAGTCTATTATTGGATAAAATACTAAGGAAGGAGTATGTCAACAAAATTAGCAAGGCTGATTAGGGGTTTTAATATAACAGCCTTAATTCCGGTTTATGAGTGGCATTCGATTATGTTCTTATTGTGTGAAAATATAAACTAATGTATATACATGGTGTCCAAAATTCGAGCCTCATCATTAGGGCTCGGAAACTAGTGGAAATACGAGGTCGGTTAAACGGAGGCAAAGTCGCGCAATTTGATTCTGATAAAAATAAGTTTAAAATTTGCGAATAACTACTGAAAATTTTTGAAATACTAACAAATATTCCCGATTTTATTTTTATTTTGTATGACGATTTGAATAGACGAGCAAAATAATTTACACATTTTCATACTTACTTTTTTTGATCTATTCGATGATATCAGATTTTAACCGACGCGACGTTTCGTCTTTAAGCTGCCATCATCAACTTTCTTTTTTAAATACGACTCTGGATTTTTTATTACGGATTTTAATAGCTTATAAGGTCCCAAAACCAGTGATGTTTCGCACTTAAGCTTGATTTTTATGCATCATTTATCCGACGATACGATGATACGATATTAATTTTATTGGTTGAATTTAAAGATTGCAGAAAATTGGTTAGAAATTTACGCAGTTTTTAAATTTATTGCATTTTCATGCCTCTGTTCATCGGATATATGATTTGCTTGTGATTGGTGTCATTTTGTATTTTCATTTCCATAACGATTTCGCTGTTTTACTCATAGTCTCGCTTATAGTTTGGGAGCTAGCAACGTTTCAGAATTTTAAGAAAGCTTGTTCTTTCATATATATTTTGCTATGCTCTCTTGAATAGAGTGAGGACCGTCTGGCTGCCGGTAGACGTTGTGTTCACTACTGCGCATCATAAATTTGCATATACACATATGTATGTGTAGCATATTTAGTTTCATAAAAAAGTAGTAAAGTAATGTGAAAATCGCATTATATCGCGAGAAATCCCATAAAACACACGAAAATGGGATACCCTGTACAGATGTGCAGTAGAGTACTGAACCGCAGTTTTCTACCGGCAGCCAGACGACTCGCACTTTGGCCAAGAGAGCATAGCAAAAGATATATTAAAGAACCAGCTTTCTTAAAATTCTCGTTTTCCCGATGTCACTAGCTCTTATGCTATTATGTTTTTATTATGGCTAGATTAAATTTGTCAAAAAAGTGTCAAAACGTCCGTTGACGGGCTGGAGTAAAAAAATCATGGATGAAAAGTGGCGCGAAAACCCTATGATCAATCAGAGCGCCGTCGGACCATCGTATCAACGGATAACAGACGCATAAAAATCAAGCTTTACTCGAAAAATTCATATTAATGATTTTCTGGTCAGATTGACGAACGAGGTGAGGTAATAATTTGGTAAAAACGTATTGTGTCTCCCTCTAACACATGAGTTTTTATGGAAAATGCCAATAATGATAATATACAGCTTCATTCAGAACCTCGCAATTAGTGGCATAAATTAGTGGTTTCAATTACACTTTATACTTTTTAGTTTACAGTTACATTGAAATTAAACAAACAAACTTCTACGCTAATCGAAACCACTAATTTATTCCACTAATTGCGAGGTTCTGAACGAAGCTTAAGTTCTACAAATTTTTTATCAATTAAAATAATTTTTCAGAAGAGACCGCGGATAAAGATGGCGCAGAGGAATCACTAAAAAGTGATAAAGAATCGAAAACAAAATCAGAAAGTGGATCGGCGAGTCCAGATGGAGACAATGGGGAAGTAAAAAGTGAAGCAGATGTCAAGGAAGAGGAAATAAAAGTGCCACTTCATGCTCAAACGTCAAATCCTGTAAGTTAATTATAACGTAAAATTGTTATGTGTAATTATCTTAGAATAAATATAGAAAAAGATACAGCATACCTGGTTTAAAACATTCTCAAGATATACATATACGTTCACACATTGTTTCTCGGAGTATTAATCTATCCAGTTGGTCACAGCTCTGCGCGAATATCGATTCTCATCTGAGCGACGCGCGACGAATCGATGTTTATCGACGACGCTGTCAACGATTTATTGTCGGGAAAGCTGTATTTATTGCGCTGGCAAAAAAACTATCAAAGCTATTGTAGTAGTTTCATAACCGAGCTATAGCTGGTCCATCGAGAGGATGCGTGACAGTGACATTTGAAGGGTCCAGGGGAAAACATGATCTAATTTTACAGGAGAGCGTGGTGGTTAACAGGTTCTTTCCGTGTATTCTATATTTTTACTAAACTTATATCATAGGATTTAACAATTTCCATACAGAGTTTATACATTTTGTAGAGACCAGTTAGAGCTACTATAATATTGTAAAATCCTAAAATTAAGAAATTGGCGCTTATCAAGTTTTTCCCCTGGACCCTTATTTGTTCTCTGTCATTTTAATTATCTGGTAAATTTTATTTTCTTTTATTTTTTGGATGTCTTCTGTCGAAATCTCCCCTGAACTCAGTTTATTTTTTAGATATAATTTCAATGAATCGGTTGGCAAATTTTTATTAGTTGATGGTTAATATCGAGAATGAATGTATAAAAAGCCGTAATGTAAAGAACTCGTTTTTTACCTATAAAAAATATTTCAAGAAATACTTTCTTTTTATTGTATTCTGTTATAGTAGCATGCTGCATCTTTTAGTATTCTTAATATGAGTTAAATATTCTTATTGTATGACTAACTATTCTTTAGGATGAAGCTTATACACTTTTTATGGCAAACAACAATTGGTACATTTTCCTAAGGCTACACGCGATCTTGTGTGAACGATTACTAAGAATTTATGAACGAGCTGTTCGAATAGCGAAGGAAGAGAAAACAAACGGTACTAATAGAAAAGAGAGTACAGCAATTGCTCTCAGACTGAAACCGAAACCTCAAATAGAATTAGAGGACTACTATCCGGCTTTCCTGGATATGGTAAAGAATCTCCTAGATGGTAATATGGAGGCTAACACTTACGAGGATACTCTAAGAGAAATGTTTGGTATCCATGCTTATATTGCTTTTACGCTAGACAAAGTAGTTTCTTATGCAGTGAGGCAATTGCAACATTGTGTAACCGAGAGGTAAGAATTATTTTAAAATAAATGATGTTATTAATACAAAAGTTACTAAAGTTCTCCCAACTCCAAAATTTATTTTCTACGTCAAAAAACGCCGACTTTTGTAATATTCAGCAGTAGATAAGTTTAATTGAAAATTTTAGGAAATAATCTATTTTTTCAAGGATTTGGATTTTTTATATTCATGTTAAAAAAATAGAAACATGTTTATTTATTTTTAGGGTTATATTTATTACATTACAGTTACCAGCATCAGCATTTTTTTTAATCCAGATATTTTGGATGCTATATTTAGGTAGATATTTTTTTACATTAGGTTTAATAATCTTAATCAGAACTAATTGTAAATATACAATTCTTAGCAAAGTGTATATGTTTACTTCAAAAAAATAATTTAATTTAAATAAATTGCAGTACAGTATAACTTCAGAAGTCCGGGCAGAGATTAATCGAAGGGCCTGGATTACTGGAGTCACTTAAAAGTATATTTAGAAAATTAGATAAAAAGAACTCAAAAATTTGTCAAATGTGATGTTTATTAATCAAAATTACAGATAAAAACCATTTTTCCCATAAAAACTTGATTCTTTGCAGCACGGTATTAACGTTCATTTTTTCGATCTTTCAGTTAGAGCTGATTTTTCATCTTCATGAACTGATCTCCATTGTATACTTGTTTTTTACTTAATATCATCTCTGAAACAACAGATATAAACTTTTCCTGAAACGGAGTCAGGGGGTAACAGCACTATAGAGAGCACTAATATTTCTGGCCACATATAATCAACAAAATATTTTGTTAATTTAATTAATTTACCTATATTATTGTTATAATGAAGTCTTTAGTGTACCCTGTTATTGGATTATGTTTGTTGGATTAAAACAAATAAAAAAATACTTCGTGCCTTAACTTCAGTTCAATAACTTGCTAAAAATTCCATTTTCGTTCGTGAAATTTCTGAAGGAATAGGTACTTGATTATTTCGTTGTTTAAACCAATTGTAGAATGCTGGTTCAAGTTCAAGCTATTCTGCTCTTCTTAACAATGTCATCCATAATGATATTCCTACCTGGCCCTTGAAGTTATTTTGACATGAAACTCCTTATTTTATTCTTCTTTTTAATCAAGCACTGCAGATTTTGGAACCATAAACTTCACCGCGATTTGATGAATATTTTTCCCAAATCGAAATAATCATTTTTAAAATTTTATTTACAGAACCGCATTGGGTTGTACGGAATTGTACTTAAAAGAGTCAAAGAAAGGTGCTGCAGGTGGTCCCTGTTCCACTGCTCATAAACGGGTCCATACAGAAATGTCTTATCAAAGAACAGCAGAAAAGGTCGTACAAGAGGAAAACTGTTTTAAGATATATATTTACAAGTGCGACTGTAAAATGAGTATTGAGCTACTCGATACAGAGCCTGAAGACTCCAAAAAAGTAGAAGATGCAAATGTAAGTGCTTTAATTTAATAGTTTCCATTCTTGCTTATTTTTTTGTCTCGTATTCAATGCTACAACCATATCTAATACTCCAACACCCTACATTTTTTAAAATAAATCATACATAAAATGTGTAATACGTCTGATATGTAAATTACGTTTAATACGAAATATGAGCCGACCAGTATTTTAAATTATGACCTTTTTTTTTGGTGGCAAAATTTTATAGCTCGTGTTCCAAAATTTTAGATATGACAATCCTATTTTCTATTAAAAAGGCTATTCTTAAGGATACATCACGCTAATAATCAGCTTGCCGAATGTCAGATTTTTATTCCTAGGAATTAAAACAAATAGAAAGGAGCTGAAACATAGGTATAGGCTAATTTCCGCCAAAGTAATTAGAAATGTACAAAACAGGTTTCAGTTCCATTTAGAGCATTGTCAGTAGTAAATGGAAAACATATTAAGCATCTATTGAAGAGAGACTTCTTCTTACAGTGCCATACTCTATATAGAGCGTCGGCTACCACTCGCATGTACTTGTGATGTGTGTCATCAGTGTTTCACAAGTACACGGGACCTACAGTTTATTACCGAATCCGAACGGCACTATTTGAGACGCTGTACAAGGCAATATACTCAAGGTGGTTTACCATTGCCTTCCTTGAGGTGGCGGCTCGTTGGTCGCTCTATTTAGTTAAATAAATATTTTTATTTAAATAAATAAAGCGACCGTACTGGCTGGGATCGAACCCAGTACCTTCCGCTCCGCAGATCGACACACTAAAGGAGGGCGCGCACTGCATCGGATCGGACCGACCAGCAAAAGCGACTGCGACCATCGTACATATAGACGGCACATATAGACGGCGTCCACTAAAACATTTCGGCCTGTAGAGACCAGATTCCTACCTCTATCTATCTACGATAGTCGAGTCACCGCCTTCGCCGGACTGGTACCGATTCAGTGCGCGTACACCTTAACGCTGGAGCTACGGCCGGCCACGAAGAGAGATTATATATTTTAATTTATTTTTGAATTTAGATAATGATAATGTGTGGTTCAATATCTTTTAAATATGACAAGGAATAAAAATTTGAAATTTCGGTCGTAAAAACGCAAATCAATATTACAACTTAGCACTAATAAATTCTACATATTATTATTATGATCTAGAGTTTTTTTCATAATTTAGTAATCGGTATTTGGCCGAATACTGTGCACTATTCGGCCGAATACCAAATATGAAAAAAAGTGGCGGAATACCGAATAGTAGCCGATTATTCGTCGCATCTCTAAAAAATATCGCTTAAGTTAAAATACTAGTCTCAGCATATTTCTGAAAAGAAAAACATACTTTTACTGAATTTATTTCAAGTTAGAGAATGACACTGTATACCAAATTTGTATTTTACTTATATTTAATTTATAGAAATGGAATAGTTATAAGGAATGTTTTTCTGATATCACTCACTCAGAAGACACAAAACCAAGATCGCCGATTTACCTAAGTAGGAACTTGAGGGCGTACAAAAACCGATTGGCTAATAAGAAAACAAGAAACGCCTGTGCATCGGTTGAAGAAAATCAAAACAAGAAAATGCAGGATCAGAATGACACTAGCCAAAGTAGCTCTTCGAGATTGGAGAATGAAAATAGTCTGAATATCTTTGAAGAGCTGGAACGGAAGTTGAACGAAAGAACGCCTGAAAGAAATCAAAGTGATCACCCTGGCTACGAAGTGAACGATGATCAGCAATGTAAATTTAATTTCCACGATCCTAAAATTACCTTTACCTTGGCGAAGGATTGTTATCTGTACAAAAATAGTGCCTTTTTCAAAGCGATACAGGTAAGTTGAGTTTCTAATAATTCTAGATTTTATAATTGGGCACACTTTAAACTACAAAATAATATATCTTATTTTTATTACTCATGTTTTTAGTATGTTTATTCAATAGGAAGTACCATACGATCGAAAAAAAAACGGCGTTAAAGACGATGTGGAAATAAAAATTATATGGGAAACGTCATCGAGCGTCATTTCCAAGCCAACTGGACGTCGTTTTTTTTTTTCGATTTATGGTACTTTCAGTTTGTAAAGTATGTCCAAAGCGTCAGGAAAGATTTCAACGGCGTCATCGAAATAATGACAGAAAATTATCTGTAAATTAAAATGACAATAACTGTTATGGAACCTCTGGTAGGACACTGTTTACAAATACATTACATTTTTACATTTTTTAATCTTTAATTTTTATATTTTAATCTTTAATAATTTATAAAATTTATTTCTCCATAATTTAATTAATTCTCCATAACAAATATATATATATATATATATATATCCCTCAAAAGTGAAGACAAATGTTAACCAATTAGAACTATACATTGTTTGGCTTTCATTCAGAAAACTTGCTAATAACTTATAATAATAATAATATCCTTTATTGCCAACAATATCCACAATATGCAAACAAAGCAATGTCAAAAACTAAGTTAAAAAGTAACTTCGTTTATAATAGTAAATGAATAGAGTATAATTAAAATTTGTTTGTGTAATAATCATAGACAAAGTAATATTGTAGACATAAAAAATATTTGTATATGAATTGTGTCTAAAATTGAAGTTAAAAACCGATGAGAAAATTACGAATTTTATTTGACACTCAAAAGTCAAAGTAAAAAAGTAGCCGTGGCAATATTGCGACGTGTATTCGTTATATATTTTAATGAAGTGCACGCCAACTTTTATTTATTTTTCTATATAGTTAACGTCACAGTCGCAAAACTACGACACCAATATGGAGAGCTTTAAGTGTCCCATCGCAATACTATGATTTTGGTGTCAAATTTGATGCGGTTTATCAAGTTCCAAATTCGTCGTTAGGAGGCGCTCATGTTCCATTAGAGAAAAGACTTATCGCGAATACCATTGGTAAATCAGTCCACTAAATGCGCAATTTTTAAAAACCATTTGTAAATTTGGGGCAATTCTCTAAAAGCTATTGAAGGACTAGGTAGTTTTAATGCGTATTTCAGTTGCCGCGTAGCATTGGCAATGAACTATTGCATTTTTTTTTTCTTGCACGAGGTTAGTATTTGGTTTGGTTTGGTTTGGGCAAAACTTAATTTACTCATAACTTCCTGTCCCGCTGTTTACCGCTTAAATTCCTGTCCCGATATTGAAGGATGGCTATAGAATTTCAATGCATTTCCTACATAATTAAGTCTATCCTTGTGTTGTAGGAGGTTTAAGGATGAAACTATGTCTTGAAACCATTCGACTCGATTTTCTGTCCTTCAATACTGGGACGTAAATCCTCTCATTGCTCTTATGGGGAGGCCGTCGTATATTTTATTTAAACGTATTTGGATCTACCCCAACATGTAAACTATTAAAAATTGATAAAAGATCTTGTCAAAAGGATAAAAATAAAAATTTCCGAACACAGCAATCATTCACAAGCAAATGTATTTAGTAAAAGATATTTTTTGAAATTAAATTGTATTTGAAATTTTTTTCTTAATTAATAACGTTTCACAAATCTTAAATTTTTACGTCAATTTTTAATAAATACTAAAATTTATCAGCGATTGTCATGCCAACTGTCGCCTGGACGCGGTTTTTAAATAATAATTTAAAATAGATTACCTACGTAATATGATATTAATATATCTGAAAGTAGGATATTCTTTAAAAAAATAACAAATTAGTAATCTCAGCAATTCGATCAGAAAATCGAATGGGGGAAGAACTCATACTTTATTATATCAAACGATATACTTAATTATTTATTTTCTATTTCAGTCCCATCCGAAAGTGACAAAATATAAAGCCACAAAGTTCCGCGGTTGGTTGAAGAAATGGGCGAACATCAACGTCAACGAGGCTCAGTCGAAACTGTGTACGGATTGGTTGATGGGCCGGTGCGATGGTGTAGTTCCCAATCGGACGCGAATTGTAACAGACAACGATCTCCAGAGGACTCCGTATGTTCCGTACAATAGGTATCGCGTGGACAGACTAAATGATACTTCAACGTAGAGTAAATGACAAGTGCGTCCGTCAATTAGAGTAATTCAACGCGGGACAGGCGAAGTTTTAAGCACAGAATTACCTAACCGCTCAGAAGCGACACGTGCAATTTTTTCGTGGACCAAATTTTAAGTGAGTTAATTTGTCACATTTATAGGCTATAACTTTAATCACGCCTGTTATCAAAACTTGATTAGTTGATGGTTAACATCAGGGATGAACCTGTGAACATCATGTGTAGAAAATGTTTTATCAAAACCAAAAAAATTACTTTTTTGAATAAGTATAGTTCCTTTAAGGATGTTGTTTTCTGTTAAGGACTATTGCAAAAATTTAGTTTATTTCCTTATATTTTACATTTTTATATTGCCTAAACACAAAATTTATGTCTATACATATAATTGAAAAATTTGAAAGTATAGGTTTAGTAATGGTATGAAATGCCATTTCTTCCTCCTTTTATTTTTTTACATATTTTATCTGCACTTTCCATCAAAACGTAAAAAAAACATATTTCCCCTTTTATCCCTTGTAATCACAGTTATAATTTTATTTTAAATGTTTTTTTTTATTTGTATTTACCAAATTTAGTCAGAAATAAAACGTCACAGTTTAATAACAGCTGTATAAACAAATCTTTTTGCTCAGAGCATTAAGAATTTTCTGCTAATAAAATTCTAGACATTCTTCCAGTAACAAAGTGTGTATAATAATAATTGCCAAAATACATGTGACTTGAAAGTCAAAAAATTTGGGACGATTGCTTCAAAGAAGACAATGTATACTGTCGTTTCTGTATAGCTAAGGTATTCTGTGGTGAAGTTTTAAGTGTTGTAATAAAACATCTATTTGTTTATTTGGATTTTAATTAAATGTGATTATTTTTGTTAATTTTTTTTATTTATCTAAAAATATTTTTAATTATCTTTAAAATTGGACTGTTAATTAAAAAAGAATTTTAAACTAAATGTTTATTGAAATCCTAAACGTCATTAAGAATTATTAATTTAGAAAAATAGTTTGGGCACTTATACATGCGCTTATTTGAAGTGAAACTTCTTACTTCCGTGTGTTTGTCTGCCCGTTTATCCATTAGAGTACCTTTATCCACGTGCCTAGTTTGGTTCCAATTAAGAGGTGTGTAGTTCGTGAACGAACTAGTTCCAATGAACTATTCCGACCCGGGAATGAAAGGAACTAGTTCCTGGTTTTCTCAGGACCTATTCCGGGATCGAGACTGTGACCGATATATAATAATATGCGACGGCGACGGATCGGCCAGCGCGCGTAGTCCGATGGTAGGCAGGAGTGGGGAGTGCCAGCCGTACGTTATCGGTTATTGGATCCGAACCTAAAGGAACTACAAAAGACTAGTTTACGTACGTACGGATCGGGTCAGCGCGATCGATGCTAGGCAGGAGTGGGGAGTGCCAGTTGTATGTTATCGGATCCTGACCTAAAGGAACTAGAGGAACTAAATAGAAGACTAGTTTACGTATGGATCAGCCAGCGCGATTGATGCTAGGCAGGCGTGGTGAGTGCTAGCCGTATGTTATCGGATCCGGACATAGAGGAACTAATTAAAAGACTAGTTCACGGGAATCTATTCAGTCGGCAGATCCGAGATATAATACAAAAAGACGACGATGGATTCGGCCTTGTCTATTGCCACAGCCGGTGTAATTACCACAGAAAATAGTCGTGGATATTGTTTTTGATCTTTAGTTTGTTATTTAAATATTTTATGGGAATGTTTCACTTTAGGTTCCTAAAATTAAGAAATATCTTATAAAACGAAGTAGATATTCTGAATTTTTAGACAAAAACGAAAAGCTTGAGGTGAGGAAAAATACAATTTTTCGTAAAATTTTTGTAATATTTGTTCCAATTGATTTGTGATTAGTTTTTTAAACTATGATTTGAATTTCATTTTTAATTTTTTTATCTGCAATAAAACTTACCTATATGTTTTTAACATACACAATTACACGTCTCGTTATATCTCCGTACATTATAAAAATTATACAGATCATACTGTGAATAGTTCTGACTGACAACAAAACGCATTAGCAAGCAAGGGGGATGTCAATGTTAGTCGGGAACTATTATGAACTAAAGACATAGTTCACGGAACTATTCCTCTGGAGGAACTAGAACTAAGGAACTAGAATTCCCATCTCTAGTTCCTCCAATCGATCCACAATTAAGAGAAAAATCCTGATGATTTCGTCCATTTAGTGATATCGGCTCGAAACCTCGAGGGTGTCATCCTGTAGCCCGTCCCCAATTATGCCGAAATGAACCCACATTTTTCTTCAAAATCAAATTGTTAGACCTACCCTGATGAAGATTAAACGAAACGTCGTATCCAACTTTGCAGGGTGGGACCGGGTGCACCGTTGCTCGCATAGAAGTCTGACGACATTTTGATTTGATTCAGTGATGATGGTTTTTCGTAGTGCACGAAACGTCGTCAAAATATCATGAAATGACGAGGCTTTTCTCTACATTCTCAGTTTCAGCCCCCTAGCTCACATAGGGCCCGAGTTACGACGCTCCGTCGTAACCTCCGATCGTTATCACTTTTCCTCTCGCATGTCTCGGTCTTTAATTTTTACTCCCATCGCGCGTAAAGAAGTTTCACTTCAAAAATTATTGAGCCATCTTCACAAAGCAGGTTTATATTTAATTTCTTGTTGAACACTATTTGAAGAGTTAAAATAATATTTATCATACTATATTTTGATTAAAAAACCTTACGATCAAGTGGGTTTAAGATGTCTTATCAATTATTTAAACATTTTTTAATTAATTATTTATATGTATATCAATTAATTGCAACACTATGACTTGACCTACCCCTTTTCTATATGTAATCTTATTTCAACAGTGCTAAAACGTTCCTTTAAGAGGTTTAATTTTTTAATTGTTTCCCTTTCTCGCATCTCACTCTCTCTCTCTCGCAAGATGAGTATTAATTTCTTGTAAATATATTTTATTTACAGGAAAGCAAATTGTTATCAATTTTATTTGTATTGTTTCCTTTTTTATTTAGTACGTTTTTTTATAATTATTTCTGAAGTAGTTGTAGTGCAGTTACATTGTTTACAACCTGCAGTGCGATGTTAAAAATTGATGAGTCACTGGTACATTAAATACCTCTACAAAAAATTAAATTCATATGACAGCAATACTACACATAAAATACTAAACAATCGAAAAAACAGCGCCTCAATGTCAGTGTTTTAAAATTACTATCAATGAAAATTTCTGTTGGGCCAACTTTTATATCGTTCACCAAAAATTGGCATAAGAATTTGTCAAAAAGTAATATATAAATAACAAAAGTAAAAAAATCTGAAAATCTATTGGGTAATAAATGTTTTGTGAAAATTGATTATTGTCAAAAAAACTTTTGCTTTTTTGTAAATTAAATATTAATTTTAATCAGAATTTTATGTCAATTTCTAATAAATCAGCTGTCATATATGAGTTGTTTCGACAGTAATTCGCTGTTGAAATGCCTCTATGACGCCGTTTTTTTCATTATTCGGTATTTCCTATTTCTTGTTGGAAGTACCGTATGATCGAATAAAAACGGCGTCAGCGATTGCTATGAAATGAATATCGCTGTCATTTTATATATTAAATTATATGAGAAATGTCATTGATTCTTCATTTCATAGCCATCGCTGACGCCGTTTTTACTCGATCATACGGTATACTGGGTGCGTCTCAAAAGTGGCTCACCCCTATAACTTTTTTATTTTATCAGATAAAAAAAAGAGATTTGTTATGTTAGTATATGACATAAATTAGGATTGATTGGCATATTCAATTATTTTCGGCCACTTCCTGTTTCACCGGAAATGACTACAACTTTTGATTTTTAAATAGCACCCTCGGTATTTTTTTGCTTTATTGGATAGAAAATGACATTCTGAATAAAATGACATATCATATGTCAACTTTTGATATTTTTACTTAAAACAAAATTCAATTTTAAATTCCAATCTAGAATGCCATGGCTGTGTTAAAAACACTAATTTTTAATCAAGGAGCCTTGGAAAAATAGATTTCACCATCTAATGTTATTCGTGTCTTCTCCTGGCCGGTTAAAAGATGCCCAAATCGTATTTTTAATCATATCTCAATGTTTTAAAATGGAACAAGGGCGAATCATTAGCATATTTGGAAAAAGCATTTTTTTACGAATAATTTGGTATCACACACTTGGTAGTTCCAGTCAAATTGTAGTTATGAATCGCATGTTGCAATTTCAGATCAAACCATAATCAAAAATGTCAAAAATTGACATATGATATGTCATTCTATTCAGAGTGTCATTTTCTATCAAATAAAGCAACAAAACACCGAGGGTACCATTTAACTACCAAAAGTTGTAGTCATTTCCGGTGAAACAGGAAGAGACAGAAAACAATTGAATACGTCAATCAATCCTAATTTATGTCATATATTAGTATATCAAATCTCGATTTTTTATCTGAAAAAATAAAAAAGTTATAGGGGTGAGACACTTTTGAGACGCACCCGGTATACCGTATGATCGAAAAAAAACGACGTCCAGTTGGCTGGGAAATGACGATCAATGACATTTCCTATATAAATTTACATCGCTAACGCCGTTTTTTTCCCCGATCATACGGTAGCGTCAGATTGCTTTCTTTTAATGTTAATTATATATATTTACTGAAAATATTACTTGTTGAATAGATTAATTTTGTGCGTTTATATTTTTATCAGAATGAAATTTATTTTGTGAATAATTTATGTATTTTTTTTAATTGATGCTGTCAGCAGTCGTGCGGGTTCTATAGGTGCCTCCAACAATAATTATTGAATCATAAGTAGCTGTGAGAAAACTAAGCAATGCAATTTCTGTTTTAATGTTTAGCATTGAATCATATATTATAAATGAACCTCTGTGGAAAAGAAATAATTGCCAAACGCACACATGCATTTTGATGGACACGTTTTTATTTTATAAATATTTATTATAAACTTCTCGAGTGATAACTTTTTTGTTAGTTGTTTAAGATCAAAGACATTGTTTTGTACAGATATATTTTATTTAAGTTGCTATATAATATTAAGTGTTGTTTTGATCACAATCTAAAACAGATACTTTTGGATTGTAATTAAAGCTTTTTATACATTGTTTCTTATTAAGTATGTGTATGTTTTTTTTAACTTATTAATTAGTACAAATACAATTTGTTTGTATTGCTTTAACTTTCTCATCTTAAATTATTTTGTTTGGTTGTAGTTTTTATTTTTTTATACTATCTTGCTGTTGACATATCCTTTTGATAAATTATTAAATCCTATTTTATTGTAAGTATAACGTTTCTAGACTAGAGTTGTAGAATATAATATCAGTTAGCTTTTTCTAGATATACAAGGTGTGCCAAAAAGTTAGTCATAAATTGGATTTTTGTTATTATTGAGTTATATTCAAAGAATCACGGAATTATTCAACATACCCAATGACAGAAAAAACATTTTGACATGTTATGGGACAACTGTCATGGCGGCGAATTACAATAATCCTCTATAAATCTTATCTATAAATTATAAAAAAAAGTCAAAGAGAAGAGTTTAATTCGATTTTACGTCTGTGTATCAAGTTTAAAATGCGGGGATAAAAAGATAGTTTCAATTATTTTTCGAAAACATTTTTTTCTTATGAATTGCATAAGCCCTGTGACACACTGTGCGTTTTTGAGGTTGCCGCAGAAACGCAGAGATGGTGACAACATATGCATTTATATGAGACATGGCACACTATGCGTTTTTGTGTATATGGTTGGTGCCATGTTGGTGCGGCGGCAATAAAAACGAATGCGTTTTAGCGGCACCGCAAAAACGCGCAATGTGCCATCAGGCTATGGGAATCTGAGAATTGAAACAAACCGAATCTAATAAAAATAATTTTTCAGTGGTCTATAGATAACAACCCCTGTAAAATTAGGAAATTTGGTAGATTTTAACTTATTTCGATATTGTGTTATTTAACCCTAATTTTTGTATATGGAAAATGTTTGTAATTGGCCGCCATGACAGTTGCCGCATAATACATGACATGTTAAAATGATTTTATTATTGTCGGTTGATCCGGAAATAATTCCAAGCCTATATCACAATCAAAGAAAAATCGCATTTGTTGCGATCTTTTTAACACACCCTGTATACAATTCTAAAACATTTTTAACTGATTGTATGGATGCCGTAGGTTTAAATGGAATGTGCTTCCCTAGTATGTATATATGAAAACACCACTGGCAATTCAAAATTAGATGTAATATTTATATATTTTTCTATTAGAATTTGTAAAGATATGTCAGCAAGTAATTGCATTATAGTTGTAAATAATACTTACAAAGAGGAAAGTGGGAAAATAATCAACGATATTCATAATAATTTATTTGTAATATAAGACATTCCATTGTGTGTAATTCATTATTCATCACTCTGAATTCAAAGAGAAGCGGGTTGGTTATTTTCACATCTCCGCCCACTTTTAAAATTGTATAAATAGTATTGTATAGAGAGTGGGAGCAATATGTACACAAATTTTAAATATTGTACACAGTACATGCCATTTATATATAAAAATAAAATACTATTAAATTAAATATATTAGTTTTATTATGAGTTTAGTGTTAAAATTTCTACTCCTGACTCTGTAATTAAAACAGTGTGTTCAAATTGGGCAGTACGGGCGTTATCTGCAGTCACCGCAGTCCAATTATCTTCTAGAATATCAATTAAATCGTCACCTTGAGTTAAAATTGGCTCAATGGTAAATGTCATGCCTGGTTTCATTTTACCAGGATAAGCATTTCCTAAAACAAATTTAGCAAATATATACATACTTAAACCATATTATTGAAGCTTATTAACTAATCAAATCAGATTGGCCACAGAATATCTAGCTACGCAACAGAAAAATACTCGAAATGATTGAGCTAAAATTGCACAAATAAAATACTAGATGGCGCGACAATATCATAATCAGAATATAATTGGAAATTTTGAACGGTTTTCGGTTTTAGATCGACGACACGTCGACGGCCTTGAACTCGCCTAAATATGCACAGTTGCCAGATTCAAAAAGACCTTTAATTGGCATCCCATTCTTTTTCTAGTGTATAATAGTTTCTTTCTATTCTTCTTTTCTTGTTAGACACACTTATGTTAATTATTCGTTTGGCTTTTAAAATAGTTTTAAGTATATTATTACAAAACATATACTCAAAATATACATTTTTAATATACACTACCTTATATTGTTAACTAAGAAAATACATTTAATTACCTTTAAAAATATACAGGGCGATTGATAATGATATTTATTAATGCTGGAACGTTAGTAATGAAATATAAGTTTAATAATAATGGAAATAATTTATTAAAATGCAGTAGCTCACAACAAATCTTTATAAAGAAACGCAAGTATACCAAATTTGGCCCCAGTCGAAATCCAGGAAATGATATCATAATATTGTACGCCACTCGATATGCTATAGAAGGTACCACTTTATATGCTCCATGGTACCACAAAATTACAATGTCACCGAAGATACGTAGTATACCAAGTTTAAGCCCTATATCGACCGCCATGTATCTAATATGGTACTATATTATGGTATGGTACCACTTGATATGCTTCATGGCTTCATGGTACTATAATATTGCAATGTCATCAAAAATAAGCAAGTATATATCAAATACGAGCCCAATCGAACCTCAGGAAGTGGTATCATAATGTAGTACTATAGAAGGTACCACTTTATATGCTCCATGGTACCATAATATTACAATGTCACCGAAGATACGTAGAATACCAAGTTTAAGCCTAACCGAACGCCATGTACGTAATATGGTACTATATTATGGTACCACTTGATATGGTTCATGGTATCCTAATATTGCAATGTCATCAAAAATACGAAATTATATGTCAAATATGAGCTCAATCGAACGTCAGGAATTGGTATCATAATATGGTACGATAGAAGGTACCACTTTATATGCATCATAGTTCTATCATATTACAATGTCACCGAAGATACGTAGTACACCAAGTTTAAGCCCAATCGAACGCCATGTACGTAATATGGTACTATATTATGGTACCACTTGATATGGTTCATGGTATCATAATATTGCAATATGTCATCAAAAATACGAAATTATATATCAAATATATGAGCTCAATCGAACGTCAAGAAGTGGTATCGTAATATGGTACTATATAGAAGGTACCACTTTACATGCATCATAGTACCATTATATTACAATGTCACCGGAGATACGTAGTATACCAAGTTTAAGCCCTATATGAACCGCCATGTATCTAATATGGTGCTATATTATAGTATGGTACCACTTGATAGCCATGGTACCATATTACCAATATCATCAAAATACGCAAGTATATATCAAATATAGATTTAATCGAACATCAAGGAGTGAAGCAACATAATATGGTACTATAAGGTACCACTTTATATGCTCCATGGTACCACAAAATTACAATGTCACCAGATACGTAGTATACCAAGTTTAAGCCCTATATCGACCGCCATGTATCTAATATGGTGCTATATTATGGTATGGTACCACTTAAGTAATAACTTCATGGCTTCATGGTACCATAATATTGCAATGTCATCAAAAATAAGCAAGTATATATATCAAATACAGGCCAATCGAACATAAATTGGTATGTGCGAGTACTATAGAAGGTACCACTTTTGATGAACAAGAAAACTCAAAAGATCAATTTTGTTGAAAAAGGATGGCCAGTCAAGAAAAAAGCATTTTCTTTAAAAAAAAAGCAAAATTACAATGTCACCAGAAGATAATATAGTATACCAAGTTTAACACCCTATAGATCGATACCATGACCTCTATTATATAAAAATTATATTATGGTATTGGTACCACTTGATATGCTTCTATGTGGCTTCATGGTAGAAAATAATATTGGCAATGTCATCAAAAAATAAGTGAAGTATATATCAAATATAAGAGCCCAATCGAACTCATAGGAAGTCGTATCATAATGTAGGTTTCTAGGTTGTACCACTGTGACGACTTTTTCTCCCATAAATTGCATGTTTTTAAAATGGTATCTATCTAAATAGGTTAAATATCATAGTTCGAAATAGGTAGGGCGGCTTGTTAACCGTAAAATGGTACTTAATAATGTTATTAAATAATATAAAATAATTGTAATAATGTACTGTAAGATTCTTGTATTCATAATTATCGCTATTCAAATAGTATTGGAAAATACAGTATAAAATATGAACGCCATTAAACTTTGGGCCTTGATATACCAATAATAGTAAGTAACTTTTAAGAAGACTAAACCTTTGAAATCAACATAAACATAAAAAATATTTACAGCAGAAAAGGCGAAGGCGCTGTGGTTAAACTTGTGGTTATTAAACGTAATTCCCTAATGGCATCATTTGAGGGGCGCTTTGATCCAAAAAATTTTACTATTGTCGCCGAATTACAATAAAAAATCAGGATTCAATTACAATCAAACGTCAGCAACTGATTGTAATTCAGCTCGTAAGATTTAACCCCAACTAACATGGCAAGTTAAATACTTAAACTTGACTTAAACGTTTCAAAAAAGAGCACTAATCTATTTTAATATGTTTAAATGATGTAGCAAATTTGAAGGTAGACTTTATCAGGAAGTATTACAATATGAATTACACAATGGCAACACTGCACAAAATTCTTTTAAATTTCGTTTGTAGAAAACTATTTTCTTTTAAATTTATCGCCCTCTATTATGTAATAGCCAAACTACCGCATCAAAATATCTGATTTGGAGACAGGCTTTAAAAGCCTGTCTCCTTTTGACAGCTACAATTTTATACATGTAACGAGGCTTCTGTTGCGTAGCTAGATATTCTGTGGATTGGCCTATGTTGCCCAACTTGTCGAAATTTGTCGCGGAGGCCATGGAAACCTAGGGGTTGTTTAAACATGGTTTAAACTACATTTTGTTTATTCTTGGCATTTGCATTCTTTATTTGTGTCAAAATTGTGAGTTGGTGTAATTAATTGTGAAATCTCTTCAAAAAAATCCTATCGTCAGTGAAACGTAAAAAAATCTACAAAATAAAATTGTTTTTTGTAAACACTGCTACGTTAATCCAACACAGATCAGCTTGTCAGCAGTGATTTACAGCAGTGACATTCTATTTACTAATGAACAAATTTGCCTAACGGACAAAAATATGCTTAACGTTTCGGGCAATATATCCTTTCCCGCCGTCGCACAGTGGGGTATTTGACACAGATAGTTGATCGAATTTTTTTTATGTAGACCTTATATAAATTATTGCTAATTTCAATTAAAGAGGAAATAATATGAACAAAATAAAGGATAATTCGTCGATTCTAAAAAAAGAAAGAAAAATCACTGTTCCAGTGTTTCCACGGACAATGCCACTAATACCAGTAGTAATATCGCAATATGCAATGCTACGACGATCCACGCAAGCTTCTAGCCCGACTCTACGCACTGCTCCACAGTAACTGCTTTAGCGACAATTCAAATGTGACGGTATATAAAACAAAAACAGGTTTATAACAATATCTTAACGATTTGAACTCGCGCGCGGGAGCGCTGACCAATAGCGGCCTGTTATCACCTCGTGAGCAATAGCGACCAACCTGCGCAAATATCATATACCTTGTATTCTTTGTACCCATGCCTCGCATTAGTATATCACTAATCGGCAAAATAAGAGGAAACCAAGAATGTTTTCTCATTTTATCAGCAAGTCGCAAAAGTCGCAGTATTTTATTTTTTACTGTATGAAAGCCCAATGTTTAACAAGTAAAAACGTATATAGACACAATATACAGAATTTTCGAGAAATGCGCAACTAAATCTTTAAGTATAATAAAATGTCACAAATTTAATCAAATTTTTCTGAACGCCCAACTTTTAGTTGCAAAAAAAATCGTTAGTATGGAGAATAATCAAAAATTAATAATACGTTTTGTAGAATACATACCTCAGCTTTCTGAGCCATTTTTCAATCAAAACAATAATATAGAAGCGTAAAAAGAGCACAAGAACAAAAAACAATTTATAATTTTTAGACATAAAATTTAGCCATTTTCCTCTTATCTGTGAGAAGTAGCAACTTTGACGTTTCGTTGAAACAAATGAATGCAACTAAACACACCCATAGCAACGCCATTCATTGCAGACATGATTTAACTTATCATTTATCTTTTTTTGGGAAATCTTAAACACATTTGCTTTTTCGAATTTCGATCACCTTTTTCGGTTTTAAATATTATACAATAATTTAACAGTTCTACTGTACTGGGTGTATCGTCGTTGGAAACATAGGAAATCCATTACAAATTTTGAACTGTCCAAATGTTGGCTCCCCTATTATTTTTACAGCTAAGTCGTAAATAGGGTTTTTAAAGGTATGCATATGCTGAATACATACCGGGTGTTGCATCGTCGAGCGGGACAGGAAATCCCATGTAAATTTTAATGGGGTCAATTATTGGCTTCCCTAATTATTTTAGAGAATAATTCTATTTAGGTTTATTGAAGAGCACTAAAACCCACATTCAAAAGAATAACTTTAGATATTTTTTATTAGTCCGTTTACGAGTTATCGCCGATTTCTTTTTAAATATTTCTCCTTTCTTATGGCCCTGTATTTACTTATGAGCACCAGTCAAGGTAAAAGATAACTGTCAAATGAAGTTGTCATTTCAGAAATTTATCTATTTAGTGCTTTATTATTATTATTAAAAACTCATACCTACATCGAAAATATTA